AATCTAATTAGTCCCTAAGTTAGGTAATGAAAAAATATTAGACACATATTTTTTATTTAGTTGTATATGAAAACAATACTTAAAAAATATGTATCTAATGTTTTTAAATAATCTACCAGATGGACATTCAAATAAAAATTAGTCATCTACCCTACTACATGTGTGAAATTGCTTTCCCTAAAAGTAATCACACCGTTTATTATTTCAGGGGGCAGTGAAATGATAAATTACTTACATAAACTACTTCAACTGAAATACCCAGTACATGTGAATGCGATCACCATGTCCAGAGTAGAGGAAATACTTCAGGAACATTGTTCCATAGCGCTTGATTATCAAGAAGAGATCAGAAAATGGGCAAACCCTGATTACTATGAAGCCAATGTGAAGAGAGTACAGTTACCTTATGTGCAAACTGCTAGCTCATCTGGGTTAACAGGTGAGATGTTGTATGTTTTGTATCTAATTGATATTTACTTAGATAAATAAATAAGTCATAAAATACTGTTTTACAATGTTGGCAACATTGCAAAAAAAAACTAGACAATTTTGACTCAGTCTGAACAAGGCAAACACCAACACAAACTCACAACCTTAATTTCATATCAAACTTCTTAAAAACATATCAAACTTCATATCAAAACTTTTACAATTGTTTATTTTATACAATTGAGTTTAATTTTTAAACATAACATAACATCACGCTTTTTTATTCCCGATAAAAGAATAAAAGGCAGAGTTGCACATTTCGACACTTAATGCCACTGTACAATGTAATATTTAATTTATAAAGATAACACATTAGAAAAGCAAAGCAAAGAATGTATTTGCGACTAGTTCGTGATATTTTCAGCTGAACAGCAAAAAGAAAGGAAGAAGGAGATGGCGCGACGTTTGCTTGAAATAAACGCAAGGAAACGTGAAGAAAGACTTGCTGAGGATGAAGAACAGCTGAATCAACTTCTTGCTATTAAGGTACACATTGCATTAATAAAGTTAAAGAAAGTAAAACTTTTATAATTAGTTCTTTCTGTTATTTTGACTGCACGGTTGGTGCGGTGTCTGGGCAACCGGCTGCCGTGCAACGTGTCGCGGGTTTGATTCCGCATGGAACAACACTTTGTGTGATCCACAAATTGTTGTTTCGGGTCTGGGTGTCATTGTATATGTGAACTTGTATGTTTGTAAACGCACCCACTACACAGGAAAAAATCCTAATGTGAGCAAGGTTTTAAAAAAAAGAAAAAGAACTTGTGAATCTGTACTACACACTTTTAGAATCGAACAACTAACCTAATGTTGAAATTAAAACTTGAAAACCTTTTTCAATGATCACAATAAACCTCTAAAGCTACCACAAAACATATATCAATTAATTTATTATTCCAGGACATGATAGAGGATGGCGACACCGACGAATTCAACGAAGCTATAAAAGGATTTGACATCAAAAGCTATGAAGATCTTCAGGTAACATTTTTTACTCTAAAATTTTTCATAGTCCCCTATAGTAAGTAGATACCAAACACTAGATTGAAATCAAATTTTATGCCATTACTGAACAATTCGTATACCTAATTAAAATACCTTCTTTGACGAGGTAATTACAATCTTCTGGGCATGGGTGCGTTCACTCGCACACATGATTTTGAAAACATCATACCTAATATTTGCAAAATTGTATTATAACTTTCGTGAGACATATGCTGGAATACTGAAACGTTACTCAATTTTAAGTTGTACTTAAATATCGTGCCATCTCTGTCATTTTACAAAGAAATTGTAGTGACAGAACTATACTTAAGCACGACTTAAAATTGAGTAACGTTTCAGTATTCGGGCCATACCTACTATATTAATTATTATGTTTTATCATCATAACAATTAATTTACAATCTTACTTGTTACGTTATAAAGTTATTATTTTGTTGCAGAGACAAATATCGAACATACACATGCGCATAGAGAAGAACAAACAGCGGATAGTTGCGGCTGCTACTGCCGAAGAGAACTTGGAGACTCGTCCAACTGGCCGGTTGAATCCGCCAACTGAACCAGAGGCGTTCCAGACTTGGCTCAATGAGACGCGATCTAAGGTTAGTGTTATTTATGATTTCTGAACGAAATATTTAACTATTTTAATATTTACTTATGTAATGTTTAGTCAGTTAACTAAAAAAAGTTTTGAAGTAAAATTCTTTTAAAACTAAACACAATGTAGTAAAATATAAACATGTGGAATGATGGTCTTGGTTACTCTTAGACTAGGACTCCAACTCCAATTCTAAGTTGAGAAAAAAAATATCATGCTATTAATTTAATTGTCAGTGTTAAAATATTTATTTCATCATCAGAAAGTTATGTTGCTTATTGCAGAGGCAACTGCTTCTAAAATCCATACTATTTTATTCATTTCAGTATCGCGAACTAGTAGCCCGTCGCGAAGCCCGCCGCGCCCGCCGCGCTGCCATGGTGAAGCGACGCACGGCTGCGGCTGCTGAACGTATGCGAGTCATCTCCCGCCTCGCTGCTGCTGGGGACGACTTCGGAAATCAAGACTCCGATTGGGACGCGTATAAAAGGTGAACCACTTAACACTGTCCAATTGAAAAACTCTTGTAGGTACGAATTTGTAAATTACTTATGGTTTTTATAAGTATTCTTAAAAAGTTGTAAAAAAAGATGGTGGTGAAGCGACCATAAAAGCGAAATGTGTCATTGTCTACCGACAGTTGCTGCCTTTTGCAGTCTGCTGCGCTTTTACATTATCTATGGTCCACGAAGAACTCGATCGCAGACTTTGAACATCTCTTAATATTTTTTATCACCTACTGGAAGATGTCCAATATCAACGAACCAAGTTAGTCCTTTATAGGGCTTTTACCTGCGGCTCCGCTCGCGTCACAAAAGGATAAAAAGTAGCTTATATGACATATACCAATACACACAGCGCCATCTATACCAATAATTTCGTTTTCCCTCGAGACTATCAAATTTTTCCGGGATAAAAAGTACCCTATTATTTAATCCAGACTTCGTTTTCGTTCTTTCGTTTAGTAGTTACGGCGTGAAAGCGGAACAAACAAACTCACTTTCCGATTTATAATATTAGTAAGGATTATTTAACACGTTAAACGCCATGGGGGTCACCGGTGACCGACGTTAGCGGAGGATTTACCTTCAACAGTTTTTTATTGGCAGTCAAAGGCTTAAAACAAACTTTTTGTATTTCATTTTCAGTATAAGCCGCGAAGCTGATTCCGACTCGGAAGCTGACGGCGAACGCCTCATGGAATTGGAGGAAGCACTTCGTGAATACGAACCTCCTCCAGCGAATTCCAGTCAACATCATCAACTGCACTTAGCTATAGAACCGTTGAGGTTTGTGTCGAAATACATGCAACGAGTTTTATTTATTGGTTCGGTGGCATATAATTAATTGCTTTTGTTGTTACCCTGTAATATGAAACTTTGAAATGTTCGCAATATCCCTTTTGTATTGTAGGTACTATTGACACTTTTGTGTTTTAGTATGCCTATATCTTTTTTCATACTTCTCTAGCGATCCAAGTGCAAGTATGCTATGCATATGCTCTCTAGTTGCCAGCAACAACAACTGGAGTTTTAATTTTTGGTTCTTATTTTATTCCAGAGCTCCAGAGCTAATGTTTCAACCTTCAATGATGGGCAACTTAGAAGCAGGATTGGCTGAAACAATGGAATATGTGTTCAAACACTTCAGCTCTGAAGATCAGCTCCTGTTAGCAAATAATGTGTTCCTCACAGGAGGCAGTTCACAATTCCCAGGTATGTTTTAATTTTATAAATTACATAATATAAATATTATAACATGTATTCGGAGGCAAACTGAAGTGTACATGCTACATGTAATAGGCGCTAGGATATAGGCTAATTGCCATATACTGTATTTTAATATAAAACTTCTAAAACCCTAAACCTAACACTGTCTATTGAGAGATCCCTTGCTCGGCAATTCTAATGGAGCTACAGTTTTTCTGCACACCAATACAGCATGAGGTCATGCTTATTAAATTCCTGTAGCTGTTAAAAATTGAATGTCTGATGATATTAGCGTAATAATTTATTGTATACGTGACCTCTCGCTACAGAGCGATTCTGGTGGTAAAATCACTACCAGTCGCCCCCCTATTGCGGCTACTGCGACCTCCTCCTCCTCTTCGGCCAAGGACAGCTCACAGCAGTATATCATAATTAATTTTACAAATGTGCGTGGGACACTGCAGTTCAAGATTTTTCAATTATTATTTGATTTTTTTACCTTCCAGGTCTAAAAGAGAGGCTCGAAAGAGAACTTCTAGAAATGAGACCATTCCAATCTACACACAAGGTAGTGGTAGCCAAAAATCCCAGTTTAGACGCTTGGTACGGAGCAAGGGACTTTGCTGGTAGCAATGAGTTTGAAAATTGGTGTATTTCGAAAGAAGATTATTATGAGATGGGTGGAGAGTATTTGAAGGAACATTACGCAAGTAACAAGTATTACAAAAGTCCTGCACCGATTGTGGATAATACTCTCGCGCCTTCCATCGATTCCAACGTCGTGAAGGAAGAAATAGTTGTGGATTGCTAGCGTGTGAGGTTTGCTTGATTAAAGTTACTTATTCAGTACATTCTGGTTTGTTTAATATTGTCATGTATGTACCTGGTTAATAGTTTGAGTTGTCCCAACGAAATACGGTTGATCCATCGGATGAATATTGCTAACTGTATCTATAGTAACTTGGTTAGCCAGCGCTGGATCTGTTGATGTTGATGTTGGTTGATGTTTCAACCTCAATTTTGTACTTAAAATATGAATCAAAGCGCGCGGCTGATTTGTTTAGGAATTTTAATAAACTAAAATTAGATAATTGAATAACACACTTCACTTTTCAACAATACGTACATAATTAGTACAAATTACTTATAAGTAAGGGTCAAATAAAAATAAAAGCGGGAATTGAAAATAAACAAATAAATAGCCACAAATATCATGGCACGTTTATTTTTTTCCACTACATGGCGACTTCTAAAAGAATCGTGACTTGTTATTTTGCATTCATATAGTTTCATTTTTTATTAGAGCTCTGCAAAATGAGCACTAAACAATAATTTTACAATGTATATTTTTTCCATAAAATTAAAATATAAACTCTGTATTTATTTTGATCTCAATATAAATCACTATGAACTGAAAAAAATTAAATGTTTTGTTAGTTCGCTAATTATAATATTGATTGATGAGACTATAATAAAGAGTACATTTAAAAAATCACATTAAAGCATATATATAATGCTGACTACATAAACGCTCTAACAGCCTCTCCCTACCGTCTACCGCTACGTCACCTCGCAGATTGTATACTCAAAGTATCAACAACAAACAATATGAAAGACTTCAGCTCTACAAAACAAACCAATATAATTATAATAATAAATTTATCACAATCATTTCAGACTACAAAATAACTAAATAATCACCTGTAAAGGAGGCTGTGAGAGCTATAATCACGTGCAATGTAAATGTAATACACCACAATTAACAAATCTAACTTATTTCAAATATAAACTAGCCTAAAAATTTTAACAATAAAGAAAAAACGGTAGTAGTTAAAATATTGGTCATCAAAACTCTGAAGAGCTATAACTAAATGACCGCACAAATTATCATCATGCCATGATGTTTGTATTGAATTTTAATAAAAATTGCACTCAAAGGGATGTAAAATACTCCAAAACTTGGTAAAGTGTGGCTTTCAGCCGTTTATTTTTGTTTAGCGTATAATTAGAAATTGTATAAAACCAGTGACTTAGAAATAGCTCTCAGTATATAAAAAAAGTTAAAATCCTTAGGCTGTACTCTCGTATGATTATAATGTAAGCAACGCAATATGTTGGCAAAGCGGAAGTTCACGTAAATCTAACGATACAATAGAACTAAATATTTATGTACCTTAGACATTATGATTACACAAGGCTCACTGTTATTTCATAAAACTACCACGATCAAGTTTAGTGTAACTGGTCGGCGGCGCTCGGCCCCCTAGACTAGTAGTCTGCCTCGACGAGGGAAGTATACGTTATACATTCACGGGAAGGATATGTACGATTTCTTTAACCAAAATTGAATAACGGCTTACAAAGACACTGGTTGGTCCATCAACCACAACCGCTCTGATGTTAACAACAAAATAACAACAACACAATCTAACACTGCCAATATATTTCACGTGAGTATTCTTTTAACGTTGTGAATTCCTCAGTCTTTTCTACGGTTCAAAAAAAAAGTAGTCGGAGAAAAAATCATACCACCACTTTTGTAATTACGTAAATTCAAGGGTTTCAATATGCACTTCTTAATATAGGTTAACTAACATCGGTATGTAAAATAGTTACACAATGAAGGCACACACGTTGCAAGTTCAACGTATACTTAGCAGCTCTTAAAAATCAAGGTGCAACCTGTGGCCTTCACTGTCATTTCGTGACCCTTATTTATTACGAAATATATTCACTGAGAAAAGATTTTCCTCTTACCAATATAAATATATGAATTATACTCTGTGTGAAAGATTAAGAAGTGAGAGCATATTTCGTAATTAACAAAGCCCGCGTGCCCTCAGCGCACCTATTCGCTCGGCGAGGGTGAAGCAACGATAGGGCAATGTAATAAAGATAAAACAATCATAAAGACAGTGAACATATAATAATAATAACAAAAATATATTACTAATCCTAGAATTCAAAAAGAAACAATCACCCTCGGCAAGAGATCGGGGAGCTGAGACACATCTATATATTTATTTATATATGTATTTATGTACCTAGGTCACTATGTTGGTGTTTCTATTTCCATTCATAATATCTATGGATAATATAATAATATACGGTATACAGCATTGAAAGGCACCTAATACGTGTTGTCCCTATCAATGCTGTTACATACAAACTATTGATAACTATGGTTTTAAAATTTCAATGGTGATCATTTTATAATGGTATCTGAAAGTTTTATACTACTCTTTAAACCCAAGTTCTAGTTTGTCTAAATAATACTGTTATCAATGGCTTGGTAAGAAACTTACTAAAGACGTTAAGATTTTATTAATATACGGAAAAGTTTAGATGTTACTCTTAAAATTTGTGGGCAACTAAATGCATCCTCATATTACTTTACTTTATACCTTAACATACGGTGTACACATTTATTTTAAAATGATAATGAGATATTGGCCTATTTTTTTCGTGTCTCTTTCAAATACAGAACTATCAAAATATAAAAAAATATTGAGGACTATCAAACAACATTCATATGTATATATTATTATTATATGTATACTTATGTACATCTACAAGAAATTTTGATCTTTATAGTACCCAAAGTATAGTTCTGCGCTAAGTCTAACATTAATTCCAATTATATTCTCAGTTCGATATTCGGTATGACTGTAGAATGAGACATTCCTACAAATCATACTCATATTATAATTTTGAATGTTTTCTCGATATACTTGAATAAATAAACACTACCAATATTTACATTTGCTGAACCAGCACATGGACACACACATGGAAATAAAATAATGTATCAAAATAACAACACGGGAAGTTGTAAAACAAAGGTATAAATGTCGGTTAACACTATGTATTACATATTAGAGCTCTTACAATATTTTATTTCCAGTTCTACCCTGACCTGCAGACTTAACTAAACTTACACTACCACATCATTTACATAGAAATGGCACCAATCTATCTTTGATATCAATAATGGCAAACCATAAGGAACCCCCGCAGCGGACACTTTAGCTGCACAGCTCGGTGCGCAAGAACTGTCTCAAGGTATTGGAAGACTACTGCACTATACACTATTCATTATTACTATTATTCGAAAAACAGTAATGAAATAAAGTTCTGCCTCTTGCCAAAATACGTTTGTATATATGTATGTATATTGCGATATCCTAAATGGGTAAATAATTATGTAACAATGTTTTATGATGACTACACTTTATATGAATATTCAATCTCATCAGAAATATAAAATGAAGTTTATCGATGGTGTTATGATTGATATTGCCTAATGTCGCTAACCGCTAGAAGGCACACAAAGTTTAGTAAGAAGCTTCACAAATTATGCTCTCTGTTATGTACGGCCAGTCGGCCACTTCACCACTAACACCCAGCACTCACTTATTCTGTAAGACACACTAAAGCGTACTCCGGCCGATGTCCCTCACATTGAACACTGAACATAACATTATTCTGAACGTAATACGTTTAAAAAATATTGCCAATTTTATGTTGCAACAGGCACTTCTCTGGATTTCTCCAATAAACATCATATTAAAAGTTATTAATTTTGTGAAGCTTTCAATATTGCCTCTCAGGACTGCTAGTTTATGGAATTATTATTTGTACTTCTTATTTACTATTATTATTATTTTTATATGAAACCTGATTTTTATTTATAGTATTCTTATGGATTAATCTTGAGGAGTATTATCTAGAGTCCCTTATATTCTTCAGCGATCAAAATACTTTACCACTCACCAGTAACAGTTCTATATAAAATTACTGAACTTCCATATACACTGACACGTTCTAAGTTAAAGCATCGCAATAAGATATTGTTACATTTCACTACGACTAATGAAGGATGGGTATGACGATGACAAGCGAATGACGAACATTAAAATTTAGAATTTTTAAGTTGGAGATTTACCATTTACGATTCCAAAATTTATCACTAAGCAAATTAGAATATGAGATCAAAAATTTTAGGCCTACAATCTATCATGATGAGACTTTTAAGTATTGATTTATAAACGCCACCACAGAAATTAATATAATCGTGTGATGGTATAGATAAATCACAGTTGTAGGTATAAATCACAATGCATATATTATCATAGGCGGTACCGCTACGTGACTACTCACTACATCCTCGTCTCTATTGTGATGTCCACCTGGTGTTATCGAGGGATTCCACAAGCGTAACGAAACCAACTCGATTCCTCTCTGCCACCTTCCACACGCGGATACAATCCAACAGCGCAGCCTTGCTGGCGCTCACACCACGCCCGACGAAATCAACAGTGTATAAATAAATAACTCCAAATATAATAAACAAATAAAAGTGCATGAGTCCATGCTGACGATCCTAGCGAGGAGCTGCCTGTCTCCTCTGCTCTCAATTATATCATTCTGAATGATAGCTGCTCTTGTTGATGGCTGCCAAATATATATTATTGCACTCTGGCTGCTTCCTGTTCAACCAAGAGCTGTAACAACGTATTCAGGTCGTTACACTTCTATATTTTAATATTAGGATCCATAAATTAATCAATGTAATTGACTACATACCTAAAACTGGTGATCAATCTGCAAGATGCATTTGACCGGGCATCTGGGGCTGCGGCGTTGGAGTATGCGAAGGGGGAGGTGACGCTGCAAAAGTTATTATATCGATTACATTGAGTTTACAATAAAAATGTAATTAAAAAAATAGGAGGATACTTACAAATAGATGCAATAGACTGTGGCGACATCGCAGACATTTTGCTCGTGTCTTGCATGGAGACTTGAGTTCCTTGAGATGTCATGTAGCGATTTACCATTGGTACAAAGCTGGAAAGAAATTGCCGTCTATCAATCGCTACTATGGATCTGATCTATAAACAATGAATTCGTTCTACGTTTGCGGTATTACCTAATAACTAATGTGCTACTAATGAAGCAGAGAAAAAATAAATGATAATGCGGTGCTTAACCGTACCTGGGTACCTCACTCGGAATGCAAATGGACTTAACGGTGAAATGTTAATAAAGCTGTTGTTTTAATTCAGCCACAATTTGTTTCACATTGTTATTTAATGTTGTGAGAAAAGGGGTTGTTGGTTAAATTTCCTAAATATTTAATGAATTTGTATTAATTTGTAATCATTCTAGTGTTTCAGATGTCATACCTTAAGTCACAAACGCCGGGAGAATCAAAGTTGCTGTTGTTAGAGTTGTTGGTGTTGGTAGCAACACTGTTGATGGTGCCGATACTGTTGGCCGACACGTTGCTATGATTCTCGCGATGGACACGGTTGTGGTGTCTGTACAGAGGAAATCAAGATTGTCAGATTGTGGCAGATCTTTTAAACAGTTGAGTGAAAGACGAGAAGAAAATTTCAGAATTGACTCAGTAACGTGAATAACTTAATTTGCTAAAAGAACGACGACGCTACTTCATTTAACGACGACGCTTCTTAATTTCAAGTCACACTGGGGACCCATAGTTATGAACACTTCCGCGATAAACGACGTTTAATAGCTACGTGATAACCTAATTCGTAAAATATAATTAAAATAAATGAAGATGTGTATAATAATATGCAGTGACCTTATCAGATAGCTGTCTCGCACGAAGGAGCGGCCGCAGACACTGCACTCGTAGCAGGAGCCGGTGGAGTGCGTGCGGATGTGCAGAGCGAACTGAGACTTCGACGTGAACGACATCGAGCAGCGGTCGCAGTTCAACGGCTTGTCGGCCACGTGCGACCATCTGGAGACAATACCAACACCACTTTAATACATTGCAACATAGGTACTAAGGTAACAAACATGCTTACTGTATTCCTATCATTATAACAACCAACAATGAAGATAATTATAATGGAGTGTAACCCACCTGTGCGCAGTTACATAGCTCTTCACAGCAAAGCGTTTCTGGCAGATGTCACAAGCATACGGACGTTCACCTGAAACAGAGGATTCACTATAGAACAAACTCGACTATCTACCTGAAAATAAATGTTAGCAATGATCTTTTCAATCAATGAAAGCATTATGAAGGCACATGATGTTAGAAAGACGGCAAGATGCGATTAGAGAGTGATGCAGTCTGAAATTAATGAATGGAAGCCAAGAAATTAAATAAATAATAATAAGTATTGAAACTCAAGTGATGATGTAGCGGATGATTGAGATTATTAAAACTTACGTTGTCGGTGCCACATCATTAAGTTCAGAATGACAAGTATATGCCTGGTAAAGCAATTTGCCGTCTTCTAAACGAACCACTATCCTTCAACCTTACGTGATTCGCTACGCTATATGTATAGTAAACTACCAGACGAAAAACATTGATTGTGATAAATATGAGTACATACATGCTTTATTTTTGTAGCCATTATAAGGCACTTACTATGCATGCAGTTCTATCTATTAAAGCTTGTGTATATTATGCAAATTTTGCAGTCTATGCAATATTTTGGTATTTTCCTATCCAACATACAACCGTTGGTGGTTATTCAGTTTTACGAAGAGTACGAACCTGCTCTATACATAGTGTGATTTCTAATAATGTTAGTATCAAAATGTTTTTTATCTGTTAGACACACTAAGCTATGAATCATTTGGTTTACATTGTATGATCCATGTGGTTCAGGAACATTTTAAGGTGCTTGCACACATAACTCAATAACTTTGGACACTGCGTACTTACAGTGCTCATTTAGTTGTAGCTATGGTGTGTAGGTGACCGATGTATGAATGTATAAACAGCACTAAGGTAGTGTGGAGCCAGTTGTGTATGCAAACCACCGAAAAATAGGGAACGCGATGTGGTCGTACCGGTATGAATTCGCTTGTGAATGTTGAGCGTGGATTTCTGCGTGAAGCGTTTGTAACAGACATCGCACTCGAACGGCCTTTCCCCCGTGTGAGTGCGCATGTGTATCTCCAGGTACGGCTTGCAAGTGAACGCCGCCGGGCACTCCATGCATTGGTATGGACGCCCTTGCACTGACCACCCGCGCATTATATTAGTTTATGTTCACTTATTACAATTATGATTATTATACTCACAATAAGACTTACTATTAAACATATGTGGCACCGACAACTTTAAATTCAGACATATGAACATTATTATTAAGAACATATTATGGTAAATGTTAAAGACTTTGTTGGTGACTATGAATTTCTGAATAAGGAAAAACAATAAATAGTAAAAAAGCGTGCGTTGAGCGTTGTCGACTGACCTGTGTGCGTTCGTTTGTGTATATTGAGTGTAGATTTTTGCGCGAATCTCTTGAGGCATACGTCACACTGGTAGGGTCGCTCGCCGGTGTGCGTGCGGTTGTGGATCTCGAGGTACTGCTTGCAGGTGAAGGCGGCGGGGCACTGCAGGCACTGGAAGGGCCGGCCCTGCACTGTGGACGAGCGAGACCGTTAGCCAGCACGTGAGCGCCCGCCTCCCCGCGCCGCGCTCTCTAGTAGCCCACATACGTTACGTTCTAGTCTGCGTCGCGCCGGCTCGCTCGCCGGCCACCCACGTACCTGAGTGCGTCCGCTTGTGGATGTTGAGACTGGATTTCTGTGTGAAGCGCTTCAGGCAGATGTCGCACTGATAGGGCCGCTCGCCGGTGTGCGTGCGCGTGTGTATCTCCAGGTATTGCTTGCAGGTGAAGGCGGCGGGGCACGACAGGCACTGGAACGGTCTGCCCTGGACTGGTGCCCAACACATATATTATAGCGGCGGCGAGCCCGCAAGGACGCTAGACGCCCTCGCTCTACGGAGGTCGCGGCGCGGACCGGTCGCCGCTCGCCGCGTACTCCGCTCCAAATCTTTCGCTAGGTATTGTTACAAAGGCTCGCGATCGCTTGACTACTCGGAGACAGACAGATTCGGAGGAGAGGCGGAGTGCGAGTGGAGAGAGGCGTGGGCGGGCGGACGGCCAGTCCGGCCCGCGGGGTCACCCACCTGTGTGCGTCCTCTTATGTATATTGAGGCTGGACTTCTGCGTGAAGCGCTTCAGACACGCGTCGCACTGATAGGGCCGCTCGCCTGTATGCGTGCGCATGTGAATGTCCAGGTAGGGGCGACGGGCGAACGCCGCCGGGCATTGCCCGCACGCGAAAGGACGCCCTTGCACTGCGCCCAGTGCACACACAAAAGCGAGTAACGCACGTCGCCGACGCATCACGGTACCTCGGGTCCGGGCCGGATCCGACTCTGGCCCACCCGCCCACTGCCAATCTCGACCGCATCCCGTCGCACGCGGCGACCGATTCACCCCCAATTTTGTTTTCCCAATTTTGATAACCAGCACCGTATCTAAACTACGATGCTGGGGCGCCAAGTATGCGTCTTTGCGGCGATTGCATTACCGCTTTTGTGAATGAATTAATATCCATGAAGAAATGATAAAATGATAAATGCTAAAACACCGAGTTGTATGCAGAATGAGAGGAATAAGAGGGCGAATGACCGGCAGTTATTATTATTAGGTAATATGATAGGCGGGAAATTATCAGTGATTGCAGAAGTACGTAAAAGCGCGCATTTGAATGAGTTAAAGAAATTGAGATGTTAGTCGAAAGCAACGAGATGGAAGCTATCAAAATAGGGAGAGTAAAACAACGGGTTAGGCGGGCAACGGAAAAATAGGAGCGAAGCATGACGCTAAATGAAATGACTGCATGACGAGTCGCAAGTTAACGCTAATCGTACCGAAAGGAATACTGCGGATTATAATATATGTGGGCTACTAACCCGTATGTATTTTTTCGTGCAAATTGAGCGCGCACTTCTGCGTGAAGGACTTGAGGCAGACGGTGCACTGGAACGGCCGCTCCCCTGCGCCGCCAACGCACGGACACGGGGGGACAGAGAAACAAAACAAAACCACGATGGACAAATAATACTACTGAGCTCAGTAACCGATTGCCGATCGTTTCCAACTGACTACCATGAGGGAATTTTACCACGTTATTTGTCCATCAGACATTCTCTCTCCTATAACTTAACGGAAATCATCACAACGTACACATGCTTTACTTGTTTGTGAATAGTTTTTGAGCGTGTGTAACCTAATGTAAGCTGCCACATACAGACTAGAACCAATATATTATTCATGTATTATTTCCGCATCGCTAACCATGTGCATAGGTCATAACAATCAAAATAAAAACAATACTTAGGTCAGGGAGCCCTTAAAACTATTCACAAAACTTAGGCTTCAAAGTCACAATGTTATTGATATTGATTGAAATTGTGGCAAACACATTGTGGCTCCGACACCGAACCAAAATAAAGGAAATATCAAGGGACCCACCGGTGTGTATACGTTTATGAGTGCCAAGGCTGGACTTCTGAGTGAACCGCTTGTCACAGATGTCGCATTGATAGGGGCGCACTTTGTTGATCAGCGATTGGATGTGCTCCTCTAGAAATACCAATAAAATAAGCTAAAACAACGGTCCAGCTCGTCACACTGCTAATGTTACTGCCTAGTAACTAGCTGAGCTAACGTATAATAACAAAATTCATTGTCTACTTAAGGATTTTAGGGGAAAATGCCTACCAGTGTGTATTTTCCCATGTCGTCCCAGGCTGGACTTCTGAGTGAAGCGCATAAAACAGATGTGGCACTGGTACGGCCGCACTTTCTCTAACAGGGCTCGTCTGTGCTCCTCTATAAGTTATACGAGTTTCGATATAGCATCGCAGCACCCTCTCAAACAATATGTATTTCATTAATATTACCTAATATGTTAAACAATTGAAACCATTCACACACATTCAGGGGGAGGTAGGCTATCTCTATAACATAATACACGTTAGTACCGTTCTGCCTCAAGGAATACGTCACGCATAAGTAGGCAGGAGGTAGAGGTAGGGACCCACCGGTATGTATTTTTCCGTGCCGGCCCAAACTTGATTTCTGGGTGAATCTCACAAAGCAGATGCCGCACTGGTAGGGCCGATCCTTAGCCAGCAGCGCACGTCTGTGTTCCTCTGAACGAAACCATCGAATGAGTCAGAATACGGCTAACATTCAACTTTGAACGGACAAAGAGAGGTGCGGGCTTTAGGAGCCAGTGAGGAGGTGGACAGTACGTATTACTGCAGCGACAGTGTCGGCACGGGGCGGTGCTAAAGATATCAACCCACCCGTGTGTATTTTCTTGTGTCGGTTGAGGCTGGAGCTCTGCGTGAACCGCATCTGACAGAGATCACACTTGTAGGGCCGGTCCTTCACCATCAACGCGCGCATGTGCTCATCTAGAACCCAGGCCACAGTCCAACAACACACGTCCCGTGCTACGGGAGCACTTGTCTACACCACGTTATACAAGAACACACAATCGATTTGTGGCGCCCTCTTGGCACTCCGCGCGATATCTGCATACCGCAGCGTATCCATTGTGCGTTCTTTACCTCCCCCTGTTTACCTCACATCAAACGAAGCCTTCCTCACGCCCTGATCTTTTTGCGAAAACACTATTAGCTCTATTGGCACAACTCAAAAACTATTCACATGTCGTATGTTAAGCATATGTATTGTCAACTATTTCAGCGAATTGTGTGTCGCACCAGTGTCCTACTTGGCTATATGTACGTGTACTTCGTTACATTTGATATGATAAGGAAAATGGATAAACAATATTGTATAATAAAGTGTCTGAATAAAAGTCGTATAAAGCTCCGTCCAAAGGCCGCGTGCTTATAGGTAAAGTATAAATAAGCACTATGGTAAAATAAAAATATAGTAGGCACCCAATGAAGTATTGGAAAACGAAAAAGGGAGACGACATTTGTAATGAGGACAGGTGTAATAGGAATCTGTTATCGAATTTATACGAACTTGTTCAAGTCCTACAAAGAACAGAATCACTAGCTACTTACATACATAATATTATAGGTAGTAATAAAACGAAACATTTAAGTACTTGTGCATAGAAATTATAAATAAAAGTACGGTTTCCCAGCAAGTCCAGGGTAATATATAAATATGTAGCACATCTAGCGTAAAAATAATAGGTATGATATAGACATAAACAAGAAAAAGACAATACATATAAAATACAAAATAGCTCGTTTATCAGGGCGTCAAAACAGGAGATAAGCCATAATCAATAACAGGTAGCCAATGGAAAATTTAAAACAATAACACAAAATAATTTAATAATTCGGTTCGCGGAAACAGGAGGAGGTCAACTTGAAAATATAATAATCCAATTTGATTTCATAATTATTTTGAACAATCCCCTCATGGTACATAGTAAAATTGGGAATTTATTGAGTTTTTCCAGTTCAGTTCAGGTAAAATGTAACTTCCATATAAGTCTCCTAATACCTCCATCCTAAATTCAGTGTTAAAACATTCATCCCTATAACATATTGAACAATTTAATCTTTGGGGGGGAATCTTTACAATTGTAAAATAAATGCAATAAATTACTAAAATTAAAATTTTCTCTGTGCAAAATGCATAGGTTTATAATTATAATTGACTGGCGATAACAAAATAATATGGAAATTACATTAAATTGCATTCAACAACAATAATGCAATTATGAGTCTCGTTTTGGGATAATACAACAATAACATCAGATAAATAAATATTTTTCAAGCGATCAGCACTTTCATTGAACTTACTGATAATATTTTCACTCAATTCAATTATTAGATACGATTCAGATTCTTGTGAGAGTTAAGGTTATTTGCATTAAATATTTTAGTTTGAAAAATATTATTTATTTAGGCGGACGAAAAACAGACATATTTTTGCAAAAAGCAGTGCAAGGGCCTGATTTTTTTCGTCTGTTTTTTGTATGCCTGTGAACAACACCGAGATGCTTTTAGATGCAACAACATCTTGTTAGTATGGTACACTGACCTGTATGAACACGTTTGTGCGTGTTGAGACTGGATTTCTGCGTAAATCGTTTAAGGCAGAGATCGCACTGGAAGGGGCGCTCGCCTGTATGTGTGCGCATATGCACTTCTAGGTATGGCTTACGGCAAAAAGCAGCGTCGCATACCTACGTCACCAAAAAAAAAACTCATGATCAGCTGTGTTACCTTTGCAATTTCAAACAATTTAAATACCTACTCAGGTGGAGTCCAATCTAAAAGCTGAAAATGGAGTTAAATGTTTTTCAAGCCAAACTAATTTAAAACCGTCTGGTTTCATCAATTACCTGAGCTCGATCAACTACGCACCCAAGTATTGCATATAGAAAAATATGTTTAAGTTGATGCCCTTTTTGGATCTAGGCAGTAGGTAGGTACAAACTACCGCCATTCTCCATCATTATTTAAAAACTATATTATTTAGCGAAATGCGAACCTATTTGTACTGAATTAAAGCTTTTATATCTGGTATTGACAAACTAGTTACCAGGCCTACACACATACCTACGTTTAACATTATTAGGGTGCGTAAAAACCAGACGGGTCAAACAATAGTATAAAAAGCCCCCGTTTTGCCCATTGACAAAACGAAACCCCTTTGGAACATCTGTCCATTTTGTATTTAATTTTAACGGCCAACTGACATCGCGTGCAGTTTAGCAATTTTATTTGCTGCAGAAACAAGTCACCATGTTATTAAATATTGTTTTTTAATTGTAAAACCTCTGTTGTTGTAACGTGCTAACATGCAGGTACGTTTTATGAGCTATTACTTTTCAATCGTTTTGTAATCATTTATTTAAAAAATAACTTAGTTTACTATGTTCAATTTTTTTTAGCGAATCCGTGAATCGAGGTATTTCTTTTTTGTATGGAGGTCAAGTATTGTTTAGAAATATACGTACAGTACACTGAAACGGTTTGTTGCCTGAGTGTAGCTTCATGTGAACATAGTAAGATGAAGCAGACGACAGTACTTTGCCACAGACCTGAAATAACAAACATTTAGAAGAATTATTATTTATGATCTTTCTGAATACATTTTCTCTCGCAAACATTACACTCGGCGTTTTTAGCAAAGATTTATTGACGATAGATCGATAGGTAGCGACTTTGGGAAGATTAAACACGACTTCTTGTTACGCAATAAGTATTTTAGAAATACGGAAGTGCTTTAATTGTTTTAAAACAAAATGTTTAGCTTTTAATAATTTATGGAATTATAGTAATATTATTATGGAAACTTCGGCTAACAATAAAAAAAAAAAAATATATTTAGATAAAAATATTAACTTGTGTATATTTCAGTGCATTTCAGCAAACAAGTTATGTATTTTGGAAAGAAAAGATATTTCTGCCAATTTTCGGTTCTCACCTTACAGGCCTGAGGTTTAGATCGCGGTGTCGATTGACCCCCATTTGCGACTTCCATTTTAGTTTGAACTGATCCCATGTCCACCCCCATACCCTGTTTGAAAGAGTAAGAATGGTGTTTTTATCGTAAAATCCGCAAAAATGCTAAACATACGAGAAATTAGATTGATGTTTTACCTGAGGGCACTGTCGTCCGTCCATGTCCATATCGACTCCTTCGTCGTCCATGCCTTTAAAGCTCAACTGAAACGAACAAAAATAGACAAATGTATCGACTTAGACCAAAACCCTAACAAATATTAACATCTTAACATCATGTCTTTCCGTGTACACTTTTGAAGAACGATGTTTTTATCTTCTGTGCTGGTCTTGGACTATTTAGATCAGATAGGCAAAAATTTTGTTTTCCAAAAGCCTTGGGGTAAATCATTCAATGACTTCTCTCGCTCGGTTGTGGCGAGAAGGAGTGCTAGACTCTTACTGACTAAAAACCACCCCGCTCCTACTCCCTTTGAGCCGGAGCCCCGGCAACCCGTTAAGTCCTCCGCGACTTACGTTTATCTTTCCTCCGAAACTCACCTCATCATCTTGTTGCATTTCTTGTTGTTGTTGGTGGTGTTCCATGAGATCTTGCTGATGTTGTACTTGCTGTTGTACTATGAGGCTATCTTTAGAATCCTCTTGGTGTGCTTGGTGATGTTGGTTCATTGAAATAATGGATGCATGGCTTGAATCTGAACGTATTATTGTTGGGGGACCGGTATGTACGTGTGGATGAGATGTGTAGAAACTGGAAGGCAAAAAGATTTATCATTTATTCCTCTTTAAAACTATTGCTGTATTTTTAAGAATATCGGTTGAATCACGAGGTTTTCAAAACTTATCAGAGGAATCATGGCGATTGTAGGTACAAGGTAAGAACTCTTGAGTACCAAGTTCCTATGACATTACAAAAACTAGCTCTTTGGAGTCTTGAGACTTCCCATGACCTGTGAACGGATGTCACGGATGTATTCTTACCTCATAGGTTCAGCTTTGATTTGCTGTTCGAACATGGAGATAGTGGCGAGTAGGTCGCCAGGGGGTGGCACGGGGACCCCCACGCCCCGTGCCACACCCCCGACGCCTACGCCCCAGTGTGCTGGGAAACTAATGGCGACCTCTTTGCTCCCCCATTTTCAACTTCTGCCACCTGTAAAGAACTTCATGTCAAGTGCCGATCGATCAAAACTGCACTTAATCTACCTGAATAAGTACCTAGACTGAAGTAATGGTTTATTTTATGTAGGTAACTACTTCGGTAAACTTTCAACAGAATGCAAGTATAATTAATAAGTAAGTTGGAAATTTATGTTAAGTACAATATTGAAATTTCCATATTTATAAGTTGCTGCCATTAATTTATATACTTAAGAATCGAAAATACTAGTATGTTAACCAAATCAAAACATTGTTGTTTTCGTTATAAAATGATGAATAAATAATGGAAGCTTGATCATACCTGGAGTTATGAGACTATTCTGAAGCTTAAGTGTAAGCTTGTTATTAGGCTTCACAATTCGATGAAAATTCTACCACTCTTCTATTACTCAATTTCTTTTATTCACATTTCTAATACGGACTGGACTGTTTGTTTAGAAGATTAATTTTGTGCTAAAAAGCGAGGGTACATGGGAATTGATTGAATGGTTTGATTAGTGTACTGTGTGAGGTATACAATACAGCTTCTTCATAGATTATACTTAGATACAAAAAAAAAATTTGTAGCTGTATTTTTTAAAACAAAATTTTGTATGCCTGTGTTATCATTGCTTATCCGTAGGTATTCTAATAATTAACAGTCATTGCCGTAAGAGGTGTGACAACAAGAGTTATTAAAAATCGAGTAGACAATGTCATTACTTTTTTCACCCAATTTTGTTAAAATTAATTTATATGGTCTGGTTTAGTAAATTTTATATTTAAACTAAATACTTCGTCGATCGTATTTTAACCACATTATCTATTAATCTATCATTTTTATGATAAAATGTAGTAAGATACAGGGAACAACACTACAAGCTGTGAAGAGCAACTGAACAAAGTTATTTACATGATGCATGGAATAGGGAGTGATGGGTAAGGTTGGTTCAGGTTAGTAACTAAATATACAGGCGCGTACCATGTTATTGGATAGGCATTAATGTGCGTAGGCTAGGTACTATATTATGAGGCTGAATGATATTTATTTTACCGATATTTCCGGCTGTTAAAATTAGTTATTTCTGTACCCCCTTTCAGTTTCAAATACAATATGAGGTAAAAAAAATATTTGCGAAGTTTAAGATTGGAAATAAAAAGCTCGGTTTTGCGTGTAACAAAATATAATTAAAACAAAAACATGATTACAAAAAGGTGGTTACAAATCAAAAGATACAGGGCAACAAAACAAAAAAAATACAAAATGGTATAGTAACAAATACATAAACGCATAGAAATAATATTAGGCAAACAACGTAATATACCAAACAAAAATTAGGTAGGTCGATATTTTAGGGTTATACAGATAAACCAAACAATAACATAACAAATTAGATTAGACATTAAAGTACATTGCTGTTTTATTTATATTGTTAGGCCGTTGACTGAGCACAGTAGATAGGTGCATAAAAAGCCGGAGATATGTATGCGAATCGCAATAGATAGATAAGTATAGGCATGTATATGAATAAAATGATAGCATACACTCACACAAGGGCGCTTATCTTTAGCATATTTGTGTAGCATATGCAGATATGTATGTAAACTTGTTCACATATACAGCGGCAACTCTAATCGGTAGATATACGAAAGTGTAAACAAGAAAACATAATGAAAACAGCTAAAATGTCTAACAAATTATTAAATGGCGGAAGCTCACCGACCGACTGTCTCCACCCAGCCTCCCCCCCGGCCATCAATAAAATGGCCAATTCGTTATTGAATTTTGTCCCCAACTTTCAATCCGAGGCTGCGCGACGCCGGTTGTCATACGACAAGTAATTTAGTAACCAATACAAGTCTAATGTAAACAAAACGGGTTTATAACACACTATCTATTCAACGTTTCGGTGAAAGTTATGTCATATTATCCTGAGCTAAATCTACAGAAACGACTTTGTGAAATTCTTATTAGTTACTATCTGTAAACAAAAACATCACTTGGAAACGAAAGACTTGTAGCTATTGGAAATACAACGACCTTTCATAATGTACGGAGGGAATGAGATACAAATTTATTATTATTTCTTTTTTATGCAAAATGTTAGGTTTCATCGCGCTTATGTTATTATATCATTATAAATGTATAGCAAAAGTTATATTCTACTCACATAAGTAAAGAAACACCTAAGTATAGTAGTGTATACAGAATCACATAAATTATATCACTAATTACACAATTTCGTTAAGATTGGCCATTCGAATTATGTTTTTCTTAGACACCGACATAAAATGGCTGCTACCTCATTGTTCTGCGCGTTCGTTCGTGCGCATAGAAGCCGTGAACGCTTGGGGACGACTTCTCCGCCAATTAAAATTATGGCGCGAAATTTAAGGCGTCGTTAACTACAATTTAATGTTTTATTTATGATAATCATTAGCGCCAGTTGTCAATTCCAATACACAGCAATTGTATAACAAAAAACAAATGATGTTATGACCAGAATAACGAAAGCCGGAATATAGACAAGGTTATTACATTCATATTTATCTACTTTATCGGTACCCAACGGAGGAGAAAATATTTTCCTTTGTTGATGGCGAATACCGTCTAAATGCTGATTTAATTGGTTTTCAGAGTTTGTAAAAATATGACAAATAGGACAATAATATTTCTTATATTTCTTATTAGCAACTAGTTTGGACTTTCTTATTTCTTCCGCCATGTTACCACCTTGCTTACCTATAGATGTTAACCTATAATTGGTTGTTATCTGTCTAAGATTGCAATTTATTGATTAACTATTCTATTTGAAAACTAGGCCAGTTCCCTGTCACCCAATGATACTATAGGCGAAGTGAGTAGGCAGGTAGATCTCAAATTGTTATCAAGAAATACCTGCTTATGTTAATGTAGGTATAAATATCCTTTATTTGTTGATTTTTATTATAAGTACCTACCTATTGTAAGTGACTACTTTCAGGAAAGCTTAACATCAATGCTAATCTTATACTTATATAGAGAATGGGTAGGTTTATTTATTTTCTTTTATAGAACGAAAATACCTAATACTTGGCACCTGCCAAGTATTCGGTGTTTTCGGTAACAACGGTATAAAAGCTCAAAAAAGTGCGAAATGTATAATATTTTATTAGTATCTAACATAAACCTCTTAGTGTGTTAATTTAACACATCAACCGCTAAATTAATATAATATTAATGGATAAATACTATTAATAGATTGTGTAGGTAATACATTTTTATCAAAAGATAGTAATAACACGGTGAAACAATAAGAAATATGCTTATAATGTGCAACGGTTATTATTATATTAAGAACTATACCATAATAAAGGGCCATCAAAGTTAGCCGTGAAGTTAGATTCGGTTCGGAACTTGCTGTAAAACATGCCAATAAATAGAAATTAATATAATTTGCCGCAGCTGTTCCTGCACAAACCGGTCTTTTTAATAGGTTTTTTAGCTGCTATATGTTAATATAAATTATTGTGATAAAACTAATTTCCAATTTGCCTGTGTTTAAAAATTGTTTTAATATTCAACAATATGTTGAATATAAAATGGTTTATTGTAATAATTTCTATAGAAATAATCGTTGATATTTATTTTTAATTCTAAACAAAATTAATGTGGTGGAGAAGTCATTTCCTTAATCTTATAATGTTTTTATTCACCAATAATTAAAATTATACACATTAATTATTTCATATTAGGATTTATTAATTTTTGTTATCCTCAATGGTAATTTGCGTTGCATAGACAATATCTTAAAAGACCGTAGCTCACTTCATTCAGTCTACGTTTGTTTATGTTCAGTTTTGACAGTGACGTTTCCTCCTAGATTGTTTATGGTTCTTTTTGATAAATCGTAACCATGGCGGTGGGTGTTTTATATTTTCCTGTTAAATTATCTATTTGAATCGGTTTTATTTACTTATATTATCCGTGGAAATATGTTTCAATGCAATATCTATTTAAATTGGTGGCCTATCACTATTATATTTTTTAAATTATTGTTATATTTTGGTCTCAGAATCGGCATAACCTAGACTTGTATGTTAACTCGAAGAATATAGTTTAAAATAAATGTGATACTGAGTGCAAAACGTAAATGAAGTATATACATTTCAGCGTGTACCACCGCCCGCGTTGAAGAAAGACAAGAAGGAGAAGAAGCCTCCAAAGGATAACTCCAAAAATGTTATGAGAAACCTTCACATCAGGAAACTCTGCCTGAACATCTGTGTCGGAGAGTCTGGTGACAGGCTGACTCGTGCTGCTAAGGTTAGTTTCATTATCCAAACTCAATGTGCTTATAAATTTTTGTAATTGTTTGAGGTAACCCCCAAAACATGACTACCGTTCACGCTTTATCTACACTGTTTTAAATACTGAGTCAACAACTATTCAGCAAAAAAGCAGTCTTGCCATTTATTTACTTATTTCTACTTGTTGGTATATTTTACACATACCTGTGACGAGTTGAGATTTCCTAGTAGCTAACAATAATTGCAGCAACCCATGTGATTTACTTTCAAGTTTATAAATGAAACTAAGAAGAGTAGCATGAACTTGTTCAAGAGTGACATACAATTGTGTTACTGTTTGTAAATTCATGCAAAATTAATATTTCCAATTTGCAACTTCTGAGCACTATTACCTTACTGTTCAGAATACTTACGGAAATTACATTTACAAAACAAAGACCCCTTTCGTCCAAAGCATTATCATAGTCTGAAGTGTGAAAAGAGGTTATACATTTGAGGGAGAATAACATACTATATGCCATCCAAAATAAATAAACAATATTGATTGATTTTTTTTCTATTTTCAGGTGTTGGAACAGCTTACTGGCCAACAGCCAGTGTTCTCAAAGGCCAGGTACACTGTCAGGTCTTTTGGTATCCGTCGTAATGAAAAGATCGCGGTCCACTGCACTGTCCGTGGTGCTAAGGCTGAGGAGATCCTCGAGAGGGGTCTTAAAGTAAGTTGTTTTGGTTTTACTAAATTAATTTTTTCCTTTCTACAAAAAAATAATAAAGCCAGGATGTAAAAGATGAATAAATTATCTTTATATTAATTATCTGTGATAAAAAGCTAGTTTGGAATGTATGCTTTCTTTGTTTATATTGGGAAAGCTATAAAGTAATAAATTGCTATTGTTGCATAAGGCTATCCAGTAATAATCTCTTCAGTCAGACTTATTATTCTGTAATTAAACCAGATCTAAGCAAGATAATATTTGTTTTTCTATTGCCTGAAATAACAGGAACCAGGAGGTTAACTAATACATTTTCTTCTAGGTCAGAGAATACGAGTTGAGGCGTGACAACTTCTCAGCCACTGGCAACTTTGGCTTTGGTATTCAAGAACACATTGACTTGGGTATCAAATACGATCCCTCTATTGGTATCTATGGTCTTGACTTCTACGTTGTACTTGGCCGACCAGGTAAGAATAAAACCTGTTTGGTTATTTTTTAAATTATTAATCTGCATTTTTATCAAGCCAGTAAGAGTTTTGCATCAAAATATTGTTGAGGTTATGTGCTAATATTTTTCAAAGAACTCTTATTTTATCTGATATGCAATTTAGTTGCACATCTGTTCAAGAGTGATGTCAAGAACATAACTTCACTCTGTAAAAAATGTGCCATATTAATTACTGTATTTATAAAGAATATTACGGTTTAAACCTAATATTAATTAAAATATGGTGCACATTTTAATAAACTCATATGGCAACTTTTCCTAAAGTGTTCTTTGTAACATTTTTTTTAAATATCGTTTTCTTTTTCTTTCCAGGATTCAATGTAGCACACAGAAGACGCAAGACTGGCAAGGTTGGTTTCCCCCATCGTTTGACAAAGGAGGATGCCATGAAGTGGTTCCAACAGAAATACGATGGTATCATCCTTAACAGCAAAAAGTAAACTTAAGTAAACAAAATTTATAAAGGTTATAGTGTTTTATTTATCTTTTCCTATTTTCAATTCTAATGCAGCAGTCTTTGAATTTCATTTCCAAAATGCAGGAGCAATACTTATGGTCTTTGCGTAGGGAACAGGCTCATTAATGAGGGAGACCACCATGCTTCCATTTAGTTGTCTTCCAGATAGATGTAAATTAACTACTATATTATAGTACTCACCTCTATTACACGATGGGACACGATAACTAAAAAATGTTAGTGTTTCGGTGTTCAACTCTGCCTATCCTTTCAAACAATATGTGATACAATTTATAATAATGTAAACTAAAATGCAATTTTTCAATGTGTGCATTACCCAGGCAAAATGTTTTGCTTTAGAGAGATGAGACTTAAACAAATAATTAGTGTATCATGAGGAGCAATTTGTTTACTAATAGCAAAATTTGTTTGAATTGTAGTTTTTAAGTTATTTGAGAAAAACAAATTTTGCTGGAGTAACGTTTGAAACGTTACCCAGGCAAAATAGTCTTTCATAAATAACTTAAAAACTACAATTCAAACAAATTTTGCTATTAGTAAACAAATTGCTCCTCATGATACACTAATTATTTGTTTAAGTCTCATCTCTCTAAAGCAAAACATTTTGCCTGGGTAACGCACACTTTTTCAATTTCTATTTCGTCGCGGTGTTTACTCAATCCCTCGTAAATAAATTACAAACAATTGATGACAAATGTGTTGATGAAAAAGGATATACACCTTTAAATTCTCGTAAGAGTGGCCAGTACACCCACATTTCATCGAAATGGGTATTCATTGATGAAAATCGCACAGTAGGGCTTAAAATATATGTAGGTAGGTACTGAAGAGTATCTACATAGGTAATTAGATAAGTATTACCGTTCGCTGTAAATAATTTAATTACTGGACTTAAGATGAATACTGCATGATTTTGGATTTGATTCCTGAGGTCGGGCAGTTTTCCAGAAGATTCGTAATAGGTGCCATGTGTACTTTAGTAGGTACGACAATAAACTTGACATTTTCACACATGGAATTTATCATAACCGACAATAAGTGGGCTATAGTCCACCTCGTAGAGTAAGATACCTAATATATGACCACCTCTAGTTGCTTCTTTATGGAATAAAACGCCTGAGGCTCTATAAAACCACGGGGCCTGACTACCAATTTTCTATTACTACGATTCTACAGTTCTGTAGTTAATAATTTATCTCAATTAGACCAGAAAGGCACTTGTGAAAGTCAACGAAAAATTAAAAGTAAAGCTATTTGCCCATTTCCAATTATGGAGAAGATTGGTTTCTTGAGCGAAATGGAGAAGAACGAGCAAGAAACTCCATACCTAGGTTACTCTTTTTCAATCAGGTGGAATTGTAGTCGGGCTCTGTGACCTCAGAAGTACCAGTAAGTAGTTCCCCTATAACGTAGGTGCTCATTATACTCTTTGGTAGATGCACAATTAATTATGGTAGATAATGCAGTTATTTCAGTTGTTATGGTAACATAACATACCCAATGGTTGTTTAGCAACGAATTCTGATCGCAATTGACAAGTTTAGTTTCATTATGAAGAATTTTTATAGCGTATATTACTTATTTGTTATTTAAAATATCTTTTAAATATGGCTTCGAGATTCACAGACGACGAAGATGATGTTTTGGCGCCAAAGGAACCGCAGGTCACTTCTTTAGAACCTGAAGAACGTAAAGCAGCTCGATCCCTCCGTATAAAAAGAAGACAGGATGCACTCAAAAGGTAGGTACCTCAATAGGTAAGCTGGCTACCTACCTATGCTGAAAGTACAGATAAGTTCAGATAACAGCTTCATGTAATAGGTACATAAGTATTATAAGCAGCATCAATCAGTCTGGGTAAGTATCCTTAAGTTAGCCACACCTTTAAAATTTTTCTATCAGTGGTTTACATAAACGTTCTTACATAACCATGACTGAAATAAATAATTTTATTGTTAGTAATAAAAACTTAGTGTTACCTACACAGGGGGCATTAAGGACTTGCCGAGGGGTAGGTAGGTACTCTTCAACAGGTAATTTCAACAAGTTATATAAATATTAGTTCCAAAACTTAACAGAGCTGACCAGCCTGCTGAGGAAGCTGCAGCGGAAGAAGAACCGAGTCCCATAGAGCAGGCGACATCCACTGCTGCCGAGGAACTACAACGACTGGCGTTAGATGGCGCTGCTAAAGTTACCAATGTCAAGGTCACCACAGATGAGCGCGAAGTCATCAGGCGCACAAATTTCTTTGAGAAAATGTCAAGTAAAATATTTTATTTTCTTTGCTACAATAAAAAAAATAATAGAAATTAAGTACCTATGTAATTAGTTACCTTCATGACTTCATGAATGATACTAAAAGGAACCATTTAAACATAACTCATTTTTGCAGTTAGTCTGTTATGTATCTACTTACCTGCATAGTAGGTATACTCATTGTACGTATGTAGGTACTAGGTATCTACCGACCTACCTACTTGCTATCTACCTATTTAAGACCTTCATAAGTTATAATCTATCTAAAAGTTCTTTTAAATGCTTAGGTTCATTAAAAAAGATTGAGGAGGAGGCAATTGAAGCACAAACACAATATGAAGCTATTTCGGAAAACTGGGAAAAAATGTTACAAATCAAAGATCCTTTGGATATCGACGCTGAGATGAAAGAACAAAAGAAAACATGCGATGCATTACTTGAACAAAAAGATGCACTTATTGCCGAACTTAAAAGTGATCTGAAACGGATGGATGAAGCTTATTATGAAGATTTGGAGAAACAGGTTGGTAGATTACATGTATACCTTTCACCAAAAGTTAGGTATTTACTTGCTTGTTGTTTGTGTAATCGCATTTTTTTCGAAATAAGACAATCGTATTCAACTTATACAGTCAATGTTGAGTTGTGATTTCTGAACAACGGTTTATCGGGTTAGAATTAGATGATTCACCACATCGTGAAGCATCTGATAATTCTACAATAACTTCCCTACATATGTAGGTATGTACCTTCATTTTAATTTAATGGTAACACATTTCTCCAGGATCACGACATCAAAGAATTATCAGACAGAATCGAGAAACAAATAACAATAATGCAAAGAGCTTATGCAAAGCAGCTGACTCTCATTGAAGCAGCAGTTAATATCGAAAGGCAAGCAATGACGGAACATAACAACAAGAGATGGGAGGCACTCCACAAACAATGTGACAAAGAAGAAGTCGCTCATATGGAGTATCGATTCACACAGGTAATCAGACACTTCTACTACTTGAGATTATCTCGTAAAGGCAAATTTCGGGGCGTTAAGTAAGTAAGGCATTTTCAACTCGAACAAGTGAACTCGATCGCGATCCGCAATGTTATTGGTTGTAACAATAATTCCGAGCCATTGGTCGGGGCGCCTGTCATTACGGGTTAGAATGCGATCGACCTTACTTTGAGAGTTCGAATTGACATCTTACAGAATAGCCTAGCAGACTGCAATGCTATCTGATAATCCTGAATCTTTTAAACTGCGATCTCCTGGATTAAGACTACCGAGCGTTGAGATTGAGAGTATGGCAAATCCGCGTACGTAGAGGAGTGCTCTATCACGAGCTGTTGATGAACACTACTTCGAAATTTCTTTAATTTCAGCTAGATGAGCACAAGCAAGAAATGGAAGCAATAATGTGGGACCACCACGAAAAATATCGAGAAGCCAAGATAGAACTGGAATCATTAATACAAGAACTGCAACAAGAGTTGGAAAAATTAAAGGCTATATGTATAATTAACACTGAGAAAATTGGCTATACGTATCAGGTAATAGTCTCAGGATTTATGTGTACTTAACTAATATTAGAAGGTAACAAATACTTTACCAAAACAATATTTTTAGGTTCTAAAAAAACGTGAAGAAGAAAATGTGTTTGTCAGATCCCAACAGAAACGGAAACTCAATAAAATGTCCGACATAGCTAATGCTTTGAGATCGAAAATTCGCAAAGCAGCTGAGGATGGTGCCATAGAGGAAATAAAAGCAGACGCTGAAATTAACAAGTTGATGCAAACAATGGACGATTTAGAGAAGAAATCTGATCATTTTTCGCGAGTTAACCATTATAAGTTCTCCCAAGTGTGGCGTATGTGCGCTTCAAGATGCATGGATTTGAGTAAACAGTTGCGACATGGAGAGATAGCATTGCATGCTCATATACTAGCAGAACCACCTCCTCCACCACCGCAGAAACCGCCTAAAAGTCCTTTAAATAAACTTGGTAAGTAGGTATAACACGTCGCTATAAATATGTACTCATTTCTTTAAATTCCCAACGTGTTAATGCAGTGTCTGCAGTGGCGTGCAGTCCATATAGGCAAATAGGCTTTGCCTACCTTATAAATATCGTAAATATATAACATACATAAAATGTACAAACGCGTTTATTAAGATTCAATAATATAATAAAAGTTTGTAAAAAACGGTTAACATAAATATACATAATGCCTGTTATATGATTTATCAATATTTATGTAATTTCTAGAGGATGTCAAGAAAGGGCAAACACCTGCTAAGGAACACGTTATTGATCCTAATGACGGAACTGAGGAAGCAAAAGAAAATTTGGTAATTTATGTAAACTTTATATACTACTAGCTTTTACCCGCGGCTTCGCTCGCGTCACAAAAGGATAAAAAGTAGCCTATGTGACATATACCAATACACACAGCGCCATCTATACCAATACTTTTGTTTTCCCTCGGGAATATCAAATTTTTCCGGGATAAAAAGTACCCTATTATTTAATCCAGACTTCTAACTGTACATACATACATACATACATAACTTCACGCCTGTCTCCCATGGGGGTAGGCAGAGACTAAGGAACGCCAATTACTACGATTCTTACATACCTCTTTCGCTTCATTAACAGTCATCAATCTTTTCATGTATGCTCGTCGGTTAAGGGTACTTTTAATTTGGCCCTTCTCTAATATATCGCCAATCTGGTCACTATATGTCCGTCTAGGGCGCCCTCTACTGACGGCCCCATTCATATCCGCTCTGTATACTTCTTTCGTTACTCTACTTTCATCCATCCTTTCCACATGTCCAAACCAGCGTAACATTCCCTTTTCAATCCTTGTCACTACAACATCTTTCAATCCACACCTTTCTCTAATAACACTATTTTTCTTTCTAACTGTACGTGTGCGAAAATTCAAAGCAATCGGTTTAGTAGTTACGGCGTGAAAGCGGAACAAACAAACTCACTTTCCAATTTATAATATTAGTATTAGTAAGGATATTAGTAAGGAAGTAAGGACTAGTAAGGATGTAGGATGCATATTAAACAAGTACTCATGTTGGTTCCAGGTTCGACATATACTACAACTTGTAGCTGATAACACCGGGTTTTTAGTTGAAGACCGTTTACTAAAACTCATAGAAAAGTATCAGTTGAAGTCCAGAAATTTGTGTACGTTGGATGCAATATTTATGGTGAGTTTAATCTAAACAGCTAGATAGAGAACCTTAAAATTGCTTCAGTCATTGAGTTTTGTTTTTTCATATATGTAGGCACTAGAAATACAAGCGGAAGAAGATATAGAACTCTTGTGTGGAACGTTCCTGAACTATGCGTTTTGTCCTATTTGCGTCGGTTTGGAAGTGGCGTCGGAATTCGCCCCCGGTGGCTCAGGGGGCTCGCAGGATCAGTTATCTAAAATAGAGTCCCAAGGTGTTGTTACTACTACTCGACCAAAAGGTACACAAAACAGTTACAGTCTGGCAAACGAAAGTAGAGACTGAAAAAGCCAGGCAAATTTAAAAAATATCAGTATAGCAACCCAAAAATTTGTATGTCATACCTGGAGTAACCAGACGTGAAGACGTAACAAACAAACAAATTATTATAAAGTATCAAATTAGGTTACTCCAAGTATGACATACTAACTTTTGGGTTGCTATACTGATATTTTTTAAATTTGCCGAGCTTTTTCAGTTTTTACTTTCGTTTGCCAGACTCTAAACGTAATTCTACTTGTTTCAGTAGGTGATGCACTTATGTAATAGTATTGGTACTATGTTCAAATGATAGTTTATTCGTTTTCTTTGTTTTATAGGCGACAGAATGTCCATGGCCAGAGGTCGTACAAGTGTCGCTGCTCGAAGTGTGTCTGCCAGTACGTCGCGATCTGCTCACCTTACCTTCAGGTTTGGAAATATAAAGTGGGTAAACATTTTTTCTTATTGAACTAACACTCGTACTTTCAATTTGAAATCTATAGGACTTTTCAAGAAAAGACTGTACCTACTCCTTTTTAAATGGCCGGCAATGCTCTTGTGATTTCTCTGGTATTGCGGATGTCCACAGGCGGCGCTGATCGCTGATCACTATTTCATAAATAATAATTATTGAATTATGAAGATTTAATTATTACAATTACTTATAACAATGTAGTAGGTACAGTGCAGACTTATTTCCTACTACTGCTTCCCAGGGCTCATGAGTTATCACCGGTGGAACAATTGTTACTGACAGAGGCTGATGAAATTATGCAAAAGTATGGAGATTATCAAGGTACTATTTTATTTTTTGCCAACATCTTCAAATTTTAATTTGTCTTTTGACGTGATTTTTTTTCCGTAAGAAACTGTTTTGGTGACTGCGGGGACTCCCGATGGAGGTTCCGCTGTTGGCAGAAGGCCGGGAGGGCGCGGCGTTACAGTAGCAACTCAACGAAAAGATGTGAAAACTCCTCCTAAAGATGAAGTCAATCCCTTTTTGTGTCCACGTAAGTATCGATTTATTACAAGGTACAGTGTACACTTATTTAGGTACTTATGTAAGTTCTATATAGTTTTAAATACACATTTAACTCGTCGATTACCGGTTTTGTAGACACAATTATAGAACAATAGGTTGCGGTCACCGGTGACCGCTTGGTGTTTGACAGTTTAAGAAGGTAGGTAGAATAAAAAACGTGCTACTAACATTTCAATCGTATTTCATTATCTTTCAGTGGGACATGTCCTGGAAATTGAATCAATGCAAGTCTTAACAGCTTTGAGTGAATTCATATCAGTCTTTGTTCCACCTGAGAAGCAAAAACTACATAACATTTTGTAAGTATTTCAATGATTAAAATTATTTTACGTTATTTTTTTATTTCAATTATTTGCTTTCAAAGGGCTTGTTTCCCAAATATTTGAAATTGCTTTGTATATTTTTTTTTCTTTCAATAAGTTGTCTCGTGCTCTAATCATTATACACATTTTTATCTATAGACACAGCTTAAAACCACCGAATTTTGACACACCATCTCGCAAACTTACCGAGGAAGAGATCACCAGCTACTGGACGCAGTGGAAAAACATATATCCCCCAGAAAAGGAGAAATTTTGGGATGGGTTGTTGACTGGTCTCAACAATTATTTGGAAATCTTGCAAGGTTTGTTATGTAAAAAAGTTAAAAACTATTGGGCAATTCACTTTAACAGTACAGTTACTATGTAGAGTACCGCATAATTAATTACCTAGGTACCTAATTGTTGAAAAAAATAAACTTAGATAATTTTAACGAGTTATTGTTTTAGAACGGGAACGAGTGCACGAGGAGGTGGTGGAACTGCGTCGTCGTAACGTAGCGCTCCGTCAGTTAGTGCGGGGCGCACTTCCCGAATTACCCGTACCGGTGCCAAAGTACGCGCAACCCGCCTCGAAGTCGTTTGCCGCACCAGTTCCGGATACAGCACCTACAGCATATGCTAGGCTACCACCTATCTCAAATAAGAATTAGTGAAAATTACCGTACGCCCCGTTTTGGGAACCGCTTTGTTCGCTAAGTCAAGATGTTGAAGAAATCTGAACTTATTCAACAGATCATTACAAGTATCTTTGCTAGCCGTCATACATACATGGACTATTGGATTACTACATTACACCATTGGCATTAACCATTAATATTGGCGTCGTCTTAGATGTTGTTATAATAACCCTTGAGTTATTTATGTACTTGTTTAACTTTATTTTTATTAACTAAATTAGTGAAAAAATAAATATTGAAATCATTGCTTTCGTTTCATTTTATGTATTTTAATCTATTGTTACATGCTGAGCATAATAAATAATTGACAAATTTGCTTGAAAAATCTACGTTGTTTGGCCCCCGAAGATTGGATTAAAATATATTCTCCTCAGTTTTTTTTCAATAGCATAAGCCGGTAAACGAGCCGACGGATCACCTGATGGTAAGCAATCGGCGTCGCCCATGGACACCTGGAACACCAGAGACGTTACAAGTGCGTTACCGGTCTTTTGGGAATTGGGGAAGGGGAGGGTAATTAATTGGGCTTCCGGTAACCTCACTCACACGACGAAACACGACGCAAGCGTTGCTTCACGTCGGTTTTCTGTAAGGCCGTGGTATCACTCTGGTCGAGCCGGCCCATTCGTGCCGAAGCATGGCTCTCCCACAGTTAGGGCATAGAGTATAAAAGCTGAAGAGTTTGATTGTTTGTTTGGATTTGTTAATCTCTGAAATTACTGATACGAATTAGACACTTAATTATTTTTATATTTGATAGTCCATTTCAAAGAGTATGATAAGTATAGGGGAAGTCCATTTAATGGGAGGTCATGGTATTAGGCATTCGATGTACGATAATCAAACTAAACGAATAAGTAATAGTATAATGTCTTTGTATCTGAAATGGAAGAATAAGGGTCGCAATAATACGATTATCTTGCTAGTAGGTAATCATTGTGAAGCACTATAATAAAAATAAAGATAAACTAATAAAATGTATGCTACTAAACGTAGTTGATAATTTTTGGCAACCCCACGGCTGACAAGACATTGTGACGGATACGGTGACTTGTCTGTCATGAGTGTCATGTCACACTGTCATAGTGTCATTGTCATCACCTGTCGGTGAAGAAGCGTACTTCTTATTCGGCATATTCGGGAGTTGGTTGTAAAGTAAAGCAGCGTCACTATAAAAACGCCGATGCAGATAAATAAAATAGTGAAATTATTATACTCTTAATTTAAAAACGTCTCTCTTTTGATTCCTACATAACAAAATACAAGGAGTCGCGCAGGTTTGTACCACTAAATTATAACATTATTTTCATGTTTCTTACAATTTCCTGTAATTTATTTACTTAAAAATAAATAAAATATCACACACGTAAACGAAATTCTGAACTTTGAACTAAATGTGAATAAATACGCCTAAATCAGCATTATTTCATTTGCAGCCACAGTAATCATGATGAAGAAATTGTTCCATCTATTTGGAGCTATTCAATTTTTCTATGGATGTTACTATGACTACGTCTATGTCAATATACCAGCAACTCCAACTTCATTTACACCTTATGGAGGCAAATTCAAATATTTAACATACCTAGATGCGGTGAGTCTTATGTAACTATTTGAGTTATTGTTGTGATAAAAGAACAATAACATAATCATTGGCTTTGACTTTTATCATATTATTATGATAGAGTAACAATGTTATTTGATTTACAGATGATACAAACTGCATATTTCACCCTGGCGTTCCTCAATGATATTGTTGGAAATAATGAGCCATCACCATCAGAGAAGCCCCTCATCAGGAGATTGAAGGACAGAGTGTTTAGTGCTCTAGCTTTCCCATTGGCAATATTTGTTGGAGTATCATTCTGGGCCATATATGCTATTGATAGAGAGTTAATCTTGCCCAGAAGCATGGATGCTTACTTTCCACTGTGGCTTAACCATGTGATGCATACAAATATAGTTGTGTTCATATTGATAGAGCTCCTCACTTCATTCAGGATGTATCCTAAGAGAAAAGCTGGCCTTACTATTCTATCTACTTTTATGATTTGCTATTTAATTTGGGTACATGTGATCTACTTCAACACTGGTATTTGGGTGTACCCTATTTTGAGTGTTCTCAACTGGCCATTGAGAGTAGGTTTCTACTTATTCTGTCTTGCATTTGCTTGTGGTGCATACTGTTTAGGAGAAAAAATCAACAAAGCAGTTTGGTCCACTGAGGTTGAAAAAACAGTAAGATCGGGAAAGAAAAAGGCTAAATAATAATTGAGGTCGTGATTACTTAGCTAGAATAGCCTGGTGGTAATCTCACTACTTGTGAGGTTTGTAATTTGTTTAAGATATTCTTATCGGTGGATGGTTTATGAAGTAGGATGCATTTTAATTATGGCTTTGGAAAGAAATTTAGATTTTAGAATTGAGAAAGAGTTAATATATTAAGTAAACCATTTGCATTTATTTTATTATTTGATCTTAAAGGAAGTGATAATATAAACCCCATAATATTTTTAATCATATAGAATGAGATGCCAATTGGTGTATCTGTATCCAGTCCAAACATTTACCTACATTAGAGATGTTTATAATAATATGTAGAATGATATTATTTTATACACACCATTCATTAATACCTAATTGTGTGTAGATATTATGTATTTCTTTCTAGAAGTGTTCTTGTGTACTCATTTATGCCTACATTTGAAAATGTGGCGTGATTCCTTTTATTGTCTGATTTATTCTAGAAATATTTGACCCATTAAACATTTTTGTAATAATTATAATAAAAAAAGGATAACCATTTCAATTCATAAACAAAACCTATTTAAAGAGATCTTCTTGCGTAAAAACGAGACAGTGATTTCTGTCTTAAGGCATTGGCTGCCAATAAAAAACGGTTGAAGGCAAACCCTCCGCTAATGTCGGTCACCGGTGACTGCCATGGCGTTTAACGTGTTAAACAATGAAAAAAATTTACGTGACTTTGAGCTATTTATTTTTAATTGTCGTGTTAACATGTCGTGATAGAGAAACGTTTCGTTGTAATAAACGGTAACAACCGGTTTTTCATCCACCTACCTATGTACAGTTATTCAACTTACGATTATTCAAATATTAAGTTATTATTTCAACAAGGCTATGTTTTATCTACTGAATGGTTCTCAATGCGACTTGTTTCTTGATTACGTAATTATAATTGAGATAACCACTTATATTATAATGATAACATGAAACAGACATTGGTTGTGAATGAATTCAGCAATAAATATACTATTTATTCAGAAACGAATACTCATTGTTAGCAGCTATAATTAATTTCGCTGCTAAAGTAAATGAAGGTTTTGTGAGTACCAATTTTAACGTACAAATAAAGATTTAACCGTTTAAATAGTTAATTATATAAATAGGTACTTATGTATATCGTATTCGTACTGTAGTTAAATCTAATCGTACTCGCTAGCATGACTTGATTCTTTATTACCTATAGTAATAATAATAATTTACGTGTCTCTTTAAATATTACGTCAGCATTGAAAACATGTAATTGTGAAGCTTTAATATATTAACGAAAAACAAATTAATCGCTTATTGGCCTGAATATTGTGAGAGTGAACGATAGATAACGTATTCGTATTTCTCAAATGTTGATTGATACTAAGCTTTATTAGTATCGTAAATATATTCATATTCGGATACTCTTACTAAAGAGTCACAAATTGTTGAAGTATTTTTAAGAAGTAAATTAAACGAACTTGATACAAATCAATGTAATTATAAAGATAATTCTTTGATATAGAGAATATCATTCCAAAGTTCCAAACAGTACGATAAGAACTTAATTAGAAGTGTTACTCATTTGTCTATTATCTGATATGTAATTGTTATTATTTATTTTGTTTTTTATTTTATTGTAACCATGATAAAGAAATTGTTGATTACCACTAGAGATTGATAGAAGCCAGTGTTAAATTTATTGTTTAATAAACATTTTATATTTTATTTAATATTTATTTTTATTTATGAGAAATACCAAATATTGTTTCCGATAGATTAACGTTGTTGGCGTAGGTTGGTAGACTTAGGTATATTTAAAAATAGCTCTCTAATTCTCGATAGAAATGGCTAGCAAGAGAAAATCAAAATAACGCTTATTGTTTGAATGCGTTGTGTTTGATCAAGGACCGGCTTATGATGTGGTTATGCACTAATTCTCTCTAGAATTTACTACACGCCTTGGCTATAATGATTGTGGTGGACTTTGACATCGTAACGAACTCTGTTTCTATGGACTTTGGCTCCATGACTAACTACCTAATATAAGCCGAAGGTTGTCGACTTTGGTATCAAAATAATCAATTTCTCGAGAGAATGATGCGATGCGATCAAAGTTCTACTTTAGGAACAAATTTGTTGAGTCAGAAAATAATATTTGAGCGTCGTATCTTGTGCATATTGTTTGCCCTTTGGTGCCTACCTATTTTGGTCCAGTGCCTATTCTGCCTAAATAGACAATGAAGTGTTCAATCACTGTTCGAATGAACTTTAAGCATCCAAACATTATTGTAAGAAAGCAATAAATTTTATATAAGTAAGAAATAAATTGTTTATAACAGCGAAGTGCGTTTTATTGTGACCTTCATACCTACTAATTCCCCGGTTTCGTGTCTTGACTGATTGCTTCTACACAATAGACAGGTTGTAGACAATTAAAAGATTTTCTTCGATAACTTGTTGCTGATAATTAATTATTATTAGTGTCTGGTTATACCAAACCTACTGCTATAGACGTTAAAATCATGTTGAAGGAATTGCAAACAACTTTTTAAGCATAAATACGAATTTATTTCCGAACAAATTAAGTACATTCAAGTAATAAAATACTCGTCAAAATCACAATAAAATAAAATAAAATACATAAACATTTACGATTAAACCCAATAGTGTATTATAATCTAAAATATTATCACTTAACAGGACTAGAATATTCAATTATGCAATGTTAACTAAAAAGTCACTTTCAACGCCATTATATTATGCAACCTTAATTAATACAATACAATGATTCAATACCTATAACAACACTTCAATAAAATACTTAAAATAAGGCAAACATTATTATGGCGAGATTGTGAACACGGCAAGCTATTTAAAGAACAATTCATGTTTTATAAATGCCTTACAGAGTTCTATAATTCTTATCTTTATATTTGTTTTTCTTATTATGCAATACAATTATAAATAGACACACCAAAAAATAAAATAAAATTTAATTGTTTCGTCAACTTTTTCGCAATATTCTTTATCTGTGGACCTTGACATTCGCGACCGTCGAGACCAATATTTTGTAAATAAAATTATCCTTATTACTACTTCTACAGGATCTTTTTACATAAATAACTATATAATATTTATATAACCTATCTTTTCAGATTTACAAATGATTTTCATACCTACGATTTAGGTAACACTAATAACGATTTCATTAATTTTGCGTCTGATCAAATTTTAATACAAAAAATATATAATATCTATATCAATAGGGTTGCTATCTGGTCAATGTAAATTATTCTTTATTTTTGTGCTCGCAATGTGCTCATATCTCTAATTCCCTATTACTGGGACTAAACATGCAAATAAATAAAAATAAACCTTGCCATACAGCAACCCTATTCATGCATCGTCTATAAGTAAAAAACTTAATCTATCTAAAAACTACAATCTATATTATTTATTTATTATTTCATAGCCATTTTATTATTGAAGTGTTATTTTAATATAAGTCCTATTTAATCGAGCACGAAGTTGATTCTTTCCTATTTTATGATTGGCATGTTAGGAATAGGGAAATAGTTCCTAAAATAATAGGATCATTTAGAAACAAATAATTGTTTCTACAAATTAATCTATGGTTTATTATTTTGAATAAACTCATTCGAGATCAAATCATACATTCAATGTTTCTGAAATAAATATGCAGTTACAATAAGTAAAGTAAAATATACTGGTTAGATTAGATGTGAGTCCATTGTGTGCATGTAAGTAGGTATGTATGTAAGTAACATGATAAATAAAAACGATCAGTGGAATAGTTGCAAAATTGTTACTGCTGCTAGTTCATTTATTCTGTGCTATTTTTATTGCTTTTTAATGTGCAATCTATAAAATTTTAATACTTATAGTAAGTTATCGATATGAAGAACTGTTATTTTATAATAATACTAATGTATAGCTGTATTATCGGTAGAGCTGCAATGGTGTTAGGTTGGTCATTTACATTTATTAGTAATATTTTACCTACTGGCCTAATATAGCCTATATAGCACTGGTTTGCTCTATGTATGCGGTAGGCACAGACTGTTTGTGCGCGATGTTGTTATAATAAATTACATATAAATAAGTAGCTTACGGTTCCATAAATACATTTCACTGCACACTTATATAAATCGTTAGCTTACTAACTTATACTAAACATGACCGATTTAGGCGATTACAGTTTATTCTAGCATTTGTTCTATACTATTTGCAATCACATTTTTACACAATTTGGAATGGCAACGTGTCTATGTAATGTCCGTGTGAATGTGGAAGAATATTGTAAGTTGTTACTTACAGTGACCAATGGCTGACTTTATTCGAAGGCAGCTTAGTCGCATTGCGATGAGCTACGTCTTCACTTTACGGGAACTCTTGTAATGGCCGTTCTTCTTCCAGCCATTGCCCTGCGACGCCTCACCGTTCATGACGCGGGTGCCAAACGATGTTGTCTTGCTTTTCGTTTCGAACAACACGTCCGAATCCGTTTCACTCTCTGATAAGTCTTTACTTGTAACTGTAAAAAAATGGAGATTTGTAAATTGGTTTTTATTTATAACATATAATACGGTATTTTTTTTCTAAGAGGGGGAAAGTCATCGAATGACTGCTCCCGCCTAGGTGAGATGGGAGGGAGTGTCAGACTCTTACTAACTAAAAACCACCCCGTTCCTTCTCCTGCACGTCGAGCCGGAGCCCCGGTTACCCGTTAGGTTCTCCGGGACTCCGAATCGGCATCGGCCGCAGTACGCTCGGGATATAATACGGTATTGGGATGGGATGGCATAGCTTTGGTAAAAAAACATTAGGGAAATTGACGGGACTATGTTTTATGTGGGAATAAGTAATTTTATTGCTTTTGACAATTATAGCATGAGTATGAATAACACAAACTCTGACTAAATGTGTAGGTATGTCGGTATGGTTTAAAGTTCTTTGCTGAAGTAGGATGAGTAGGCAGAATGCCAATAAGCATGACATAGTGACACTGAGCGATAAGAGATTATACCTACCTACCTACTGATCAGATGTTATTCCCATTCTTGATATTATAAATATTGAGATTTATTGTGCAAAAGTCAAGGCTAAGCAGGTCAATCTACTCTAATCTGTTAACTTGTTTTTTTTTTTTATTTTTAACTTATTACATCGGAGTAGTTTGTACACAAGTATCGAGCGTGCTCAGCGCTTTGAGTGGCCGGCTCCTGTGAACCAACCAGCGGAATAATCTCCATTGCTCTATAAAGACCTCTTTTTTAAGTTCTCTGTTCGTTATTTATTCAGTATTTACATTACATAAACCGCATACAGACAGCTAGCATGGAGATCTCAGTTAGGTTTAAAAAATACTTATGTGGTCATAAGATTTTTTTTAATTGCAATATTTTATCTCAATGAATATGTGTATGTTTAACTATTAGAGACATAATTTTGACACATTTTATAAGGAGTTAACGTTAAATTTTAATACCAGCAGCTGTAGCCAAATGCCATTAAGCGCTTGTCTACTTGTAGAATAGAAAACCAAATTATATGGAATTGGTGTAAATTTTAACACTTATCAATGTCATCCCCATAGATTTAGTTTTCTATTTTCTTAGTAGACAAGTGCTAAAGTGGCGTTTGGCTAAAGGCACAGGAATTATAGGGAGGGCATCATTATCATCATCATATCAGCCACAGGACATCTCCTGCTGAATATAAAGCCTCATCTTGCTCATTAAAGGATAAGTCGTCCACTGCTGAATATAGGTCTCCTTCTTACTCAAAGAGTGTACATCTGCAATAGGCATGGCGACTATTTTTGTCCGTCTTTTAGATATTTTAAAAATCTTCGATACGTATTTTTTCTTTTTTCTCGTATCCAAAAAAACATGTAGATATTTAGAGTTAAAATGACGCGTGATGTCACACTTAGGTACGATTTCTCCGTAAGTGTGACGTCAACACCCCCCACTCCCTAACTTTAATGCGGAATAACTACGTATTCTTCTGTTAATTTGATAAAACAAAAAATACGTGTCTGATATTTTCGTGCGATCTTAATGACGGACTAATTACTTTTTTGATTTTTTTACCCTGTCGACACGCCTGTTGTAGATAAAGTAATGATAGCATATAAGAAAGCAGGCGGTCGTACAATATTTACATGGTTTCTCCTCGTGGTCGGCGAGCGGTAGCAGCCTGTACTTGGGTCGCGCGCGCGGCTTGCGAGGCGCGCACAGCCGGCGCAGCGCGCGCGCCGCCGCCCAGCTGCCCGCGCCCACGCCGCATAGCGCCGCCACGCCGCCCAGGCTCGCGTATACTACTGACCATTCTGGAACAGTAATTAAAAATTAAAAACGATGTTTTTATAATAACTATCGTGAGACTAAAATCTAGGGTTACTCACGTGAATATACTGAGAAAAGCTCTCCTAGTTTCGAACCACAGAGGGGTTCTTCCTCATGAGCAGCATGCGTAGTCGCCGCGACGTCGCGCACGACAGTAAGCTGCTGTGAGGAGGAACCCCTCTGTGGTTCGAAACTAGTAGAGCTTTTCTCAGTATATTCACGCGAGTAACCCGAGATTTTATATATGACATTCAGATTGAATAACAATTTTCAACATGTGATGCGAAAGAGTCTTTTACAGTCAGAGGCCTTAGTACGGGTTTGTTTTACGTAGTATTCGAAACGAGTACGCATTCGGCACTCTGATTGGCCGGCATCAATGAAGCAACCAATCAGAGCGCCAAATGCGTACTCGTTACGATTACTTTTAACGTTAAACAAACTCGTAGGTACTAAGGCCTCAGAACTAAAGTGGAATTAGTAATAGAAAAATTACAACACATTAATTTTCTTTTATAAAACGTTCACCATGTCGTCATCAAAGCATTCACTTCCAGTAAACAATAAACAACAAATATTAAAATGGCTCTGCTCGTCAGTCAGTTCATTAGTTCAGTTTGTACATTAGTTAAGTGACGGTAACTTTCAATTATAAACTAAAGATGTTCTTTTGTAAGAATGTTGTTTCCGTGAACGCCTGACAATCTCCTTGGTCTTCCTTAGATGAGGGGGTTTCATTAGAATTTTCCACCTTGGCAATCAAAGGTAAAAAAAACACAGTTACCACAATCAGGTTGCGCATCAGGATCAAGCTGCGACAGTAGACTCTGCATCCAGAAGGCGTCGCAGCGACACGTCCTGGTGGCGTGGTCGCAGACGCCGCGGCCCGAGCACGCGCTCAGACAGCGCAGCGAGCGCACGCGCCCGCCGCCCCACGCCGTCCACGCGCCCGACGTGCCGCGGACTAGGGATAGAGCGCGGATACCTTCTACTGCTTTACCCTGCCGAAATTGACGTTAAGTTAGTCTGTTTGCTTTGGTTAAGTTGCAGATTATTAAGTGTAGAAGATGAGACAAGAGTTTCGCACTCTCAAGAGAAGCGCGACTTTCAGTAATGAAGAGGGAGACTGAGATGGAGAAATTCTATTCAACTATAGGTTGTTTTTAGGATAAAATCAGTAATAATTAAAATAATTTATTGACTTAAAAAAGTAGTTGTATTAAAAATCAAGATACATTTTGTATAGCTGAGTAAGAAAAAGTAAGTTACATAACATAACATCACGCCTTTTATCCCCGAAGGGGTAGGCAGAGGTGCACATTACGGTACTTAATGAAACTGTACAATGTAACACCCACTTTTCACTATTTATGTTATGAGTCCCATGTAATAGGGGGTGAGTCTATTGCGATATACCAGGCATAATTCCAGACTCCATGTTACTACTGAGATTTTTTTTAAAAAACCCAGTAATGCTTTGTCCGACCCGGGAATCGAACCCCGAGACCCCTTGCCCGGCAGTCGCACATGCGACCAATCGGACCAATCGGCCAACGAGGCAGTCAAAAAAGTAAGTTAAAAGCATTAAAATATTATTTTTCGTTTACCTGTTCAGATAGGAAGAAGATCAGCTGCGCATTTCCAGAATCAATTTGTCCATGAACTTCAGTGACGTTAACTCTAATATCGTCCTTGAGGAGTAAGGTCATCTTTTGCACTAATGAGTCTAATTGACTCTGTGTGAAGGCTGATATTGGAATGTTCATGGTTAACTCCATAAGGTTCATTTCCAAAGGATCAGGCTTTACTTGGACACTCACTGTGTCTTTGTCTGATTCTCCTTGGTCATCCGTTACTGTTAGTTCGTATACGTATCTCCCTGCCTCTATGTTTGTTAGCTGTAAATTAGTTTAAATTAATTTTCAATTTATAAGTACATTATCTGAGTCATTTTTATAGATATTAACCTAATGTAAAATGTTTAGGTTTAAATGCTAGATAACTCAACAAAATAAACTAAATAACTTAAAAAACACTTGCGCAATGCACTAAAAACTTATTTTAATTGCGCAATAAGCAACTTATGAAGTAAAACCTCACCATTAACACGGGTTGTGTATCAGAATTCAGGATAACAGTGCCGGCAGCGAGGCCAGATGGTGAACGACTCCACTTCCACGACACTATGCGGAAATCATCCGATGACTTCGATCCATTCAGTATCAAAACCGATATTGGCAAGTTTAGCACTAAGTCACCGCCTGCGTCTGCTTTTGGAGGACTGTTTTTGTCTGTAATTTGAAAAGAAATAGATGAAAAGTCAGAGAACAAAAACTTTCCTTAATCAAAAATAAACTAATTCGACTATTCAATACAATGAAATATTAAAAAGTAATCACACTTTCATTAATTCATCTTATGACCAACTTAATTTTAGTATTTTTCAAACAAATTTTTAAGAAAATAGTATGCTGTTTGACGCTAAAAAAATGTGACGTCACAATACACAATCTCGTACAGAATTCATAGAAAAGGAATGTCGTTTTTGACAGTTCGAAAAAAGTATTGAATTTGACTAGTTGGCAAGTCCCCAATTATTCTTAGACAAGCATGGACCCACGTGATGCTAACCCTTGACAGCCTTAACTGACTAGTAAACATAAGTCTGTAAATAAATAATTCAAAGTTAAATAAATATGAAAAAAGAAACTACACTCTACTTTCACAGTCATGAATAATACGATACAAGATTACCCAAACTAGGTATTATCTCATAACATAAAACACGTTAATCTAGTGTATTATTAGTACTAACCCATGAATACATTTTTAACAAACTCATGCAAAAAATAATATACAAAATGCCAATATTATCTACTATTGAATCCATTGCACATAGCTAACTTAAACGTGTAATAAATAACTTAGAAAAAAATAATTATATTATAGAAAAAGTACCAAAAATAACACAGTAAAAAGTGCTTTAGTGCAATGGATTTAGGAGTGAAATTAGAAAATTATGTACAACTTACTTTGCGTGACGGTGACGGTGACATTATCAGATGCAGAGTTCCCGTTATCGTCGAGTACGGTCAAGGAGAAGACGTATTGTCCTTTAGTGAGTGCGGTGGCATTCGCGACTGACTCGTTAAAGTTGATAATGTTAGAGTTAGTAGGACCGGAGAGACAACGCCAGGTGTACGCGACAATCCTATGGTCATCGTGCGATGTCGAACCGTTCAGGATGATCCAAGTTTGAGGTAGTGATATGAACTGTAAGTACACACCATTATATCTACGATACAGTTGTTTAGTTGAAGTTATGTACTATGATACGAACCACAACCATAGTTTCTGAAGGATAGTTCAATGTAAACACTGAATTAATTCATTTATATTATAATTACCATTAGTTTACATTGATCAACCTTTAGCATTAACCTCTTGTTTGTCGATATATGACACACAATATAAAACACATTGTGTCTCGCGTAGATCTGTGTTCCAGCGACAGACAAGACAACCGGCGAAAAATGATCCAATTTGAATATCATCAACTTATTTAGTTAGTTGTGAATAGTGTATAATAATAACAAACGATTGTTTAGGATATCCGTTACGATAACTTGCATAGATCGACTGTAACATGCAGTGATTATATTTTATCATACTGATAGCAACCCTCTGTAATTTTATGAGTTTATGTAAATGTAGGTATGTTTTAGTAACTTTACACCTCAGGCAGCATGCATATACTTTTGATTACTTATATAATGTCTAGATGGACGAAATACGTTTAAAAAATTTGCATTGCACTGTTCACTGCATTGAAAATTAATAACTTACTTGAAAAAATAAAAATATCAACGCAGTGTCCAATAAAAAAAAAATTTTAAAAACAAATTCAAAAAGATTGTTAATATTTATTTCTTTATTTCAAAGTGGTCTAGTAATATTTATGGAATGTTTTTATAAAAACTATCGTAAGATATACTAAATTAACTAAAATCACGTGTTACGTTGAGGAAGGACCCCTTATATATATATAAGGGGAATAGAGGGGTTCTTCCTCATGAGCAGCGTGCGCGGTCGCGGCGGATCATGAGGAAGAACCCCTCTGTGGTTCGAAACTAGTAGAGCTTTTCTCAGTATATTCACGTGAGTAACCCGTGATTTTAGTGATTTTAGTTAATTAATATTTATGGGAGATATACATATGATAGGAGGATTTTCGTTGTAGCTGGTATCATTTTTGCACCGTGTAAGGCACGAGCCGTGCGCACACATGCAACAAATGCAACGCCATTTTTATTGTTATTGTATGGTAACGCTCCATCTATACATTTTATAACCAAAGACAAATACATTATGCGTAAGAAAGAAGTAAAGTGAATCATTAGTTTGAGTTTAGACAGGTACTATTATACATCTTCATGTTAATTTTAGAAATAGATGGTAGGTAGTTAGAAAACTAATAACAGTCAGAGGTAATATCAACTATAACCTATTTCCCGATATAAAATTGCTAAAAGATAACCATTATGTATTAGTAACTGTAATTACGTACGAGAAAGTTTTTGTTAGTTCATTGGACATTTTTCATCTATCGGTTACCTAGATCTAGAACATGTTTATTTTATTTTAGTAAAACTCATTTCCTGCCCTACTACCTACGATTTGCTCTCATAATTATTTCACGCTTCGATAGAGCGATAGCAAAACGTGCTGATAAAATACTTATGTCTATAAATAGAAAAAAATGTCTGTAACTTTATGTGGATTATCTAATAGGAATATAGGAATTTAATTAGGATGATGACAGGGTATGAAAATTAAAAATCTAATTAGTCCGTAAGTTCGGTAATAAAAAAATATTAGACCCTTATTTTTTATTTTGTCGTATAATAAAACAATACGTAGATAAAACTAATCAAAGTTTAGGAGTGGGGGCTAAAACGTCATTTCTACGTATAAAATATACATAGAAGTAACGTCACGCGACATTTCAAATCAATATATTGTCGAAAGTATTTTTATCTGTAAGTAAATAAAAATACGTGTCTAATGATTTAAAATAATCTATCAGACGGCCATTAAAATAAAACTTGGCATCTTTAGAAGGTAGGAAGAAAAGAACATATTATAACATCAATTTTTCTCAAGATATGAGGCCTATGTATTAGAGGGGTAAGTATTTCTTTATACAAATACATAAATTAACTGTGGAATAAACTATCTAATGTAATATAGACTAAGGTTTTGCTTGTCGAATTTAGACCTTATTTCCTAAAACTTTCATTATCCGATTCATAAAATGTCCGTGCGATAGCGTTGCGCCCGATCGATTTATTATTATCAGTATTGGTATGTACAGGTAAATGACCCGTCTACTGCACTTATAAACAATGGTGATATTTAGAATAAAACCTATTAGCTTTAGATTAATATTTTTTTTGTTAACATCTCATTACGGTAAAAGAAACAAAAATAATTGAATGATGTTTCTTTCACATACCAAAAAAGGCTTTGAAATTAAATATTGTCAGACAGGAGCAGATACATTTTCAACCTTAATCTTTTATAATTAAGTTGAAAATTCATTAAAAAGAGCCAGTTTACGGTAGTTTAATGTCCTAGTCAATACTTACAGATTCTGCTCTTGCTTCAGCTACGGGCGGAGTGTTGGTCGGTGGTTTGACGAAGACATGAACATCTGCAGTGGAGGACTGGCCTGAAGAATCCGTCACTTTCAATACGAACGTGTATACGCCTTCCGATAGATTTGATAACTGAAATTATATGAAAATATGGTTTTAGCATAAGTAGTACCTACTTCTACGTACTATCAAATATGGACACGGTGGGACATTGCCTAAATTACTACATGCACTCGGAGTTTGATTAAATATAGAAAGCGTTAATAATACACACACTCATTGAAGTATGAAATCGATAAATTCCTATTGAAGCTAAGCAACCGACTTAATTATGACGGATTCATTTACAAAAAGGCGAGAATGATAGATACAAATTGGATCAAACTTGCCCTGAACAAAGAAATGACAAAAAATTATGAAGTTACAGTTAAACCCTACCAACTTCGAGGTGAACTCGTGGCTCGTGAATGAAAATATGATAAAATGTTGATCTTGTCAATGTTCGACTATTAAACTGTGATGCAACTACTATTCTCTGTCATTCACACAGGTAATTAGTAATGCTTCAATAAGCGTTACATAACATAACATAACTTCACGCATTTTATCCCCGAAGGGGTAGGCAGAGGTGTACATTACGGCACTTAATACCACTGTACAATATAACACCCACTTTTCACTATTTATGTCATGAGTCCCATGTAATAGGGGGTGAGCCTATTGCCATATACCGGGCACAACTCCAGACTCCGTGCTACTACCGAGGTTTTTAAAAACCCAGTAGTACTTTGACGGACCCGGGAATTGAACCCGAGACCCCTTGCCCGGCAGTCACACTTGCGACCACGAGTTTGTTGTTGTTGAGCGAAGATACAGTAGAATGCGAGCGAAGTAGGTACATATTTTCATTATATTGGAGGAAAGCTATAATTAAAAAAAAACTCATTACCGGGAAAGGCAATGTCCGATAAACAAATCTACTTGACTAACGATTCTATTATTTTGTGGTAAAACTGTAACCAACCTACTTGTTACAAAACGAGGATACATGTTGTACATGAAACACCATGGCATGTGCTAGATTGATAAGTGGTGATAACAACATAAGGATATCATTATAAACCACGTTTTTTCATTATATGTTATCTGTAATATTTATGTTAATGACGGGTTTAAATGGAAATGTAACATAGAATAATACAGGGTCTTCGAAAGGTTGAACCGACGTTAGCAATTATTTTTTTCTATTTTTGAAAAGTAGATAATCGCCGCCCATTCACTCTCACACACATTTTATACATTTTTGTATTCAGCAATTTAACACGTTAACTGCCACGTAGGTCACCGGTGACGTATGTTAGCGGAGGATTTGCCTTCAACAGTTGTCTGTCGGTAGTCAAAGGCTTAATGTATGACCCAGAAATTATTGTGTTGGGACACATTGATTACCGATATCCGCCGTATAACGCCACATTTTAAATAATTGCCTATTAAGTATATTTTTGTTTTGTTGGTGCTAAGCACCAAGAAGGATCATTTGCTTAAGTAAAACCCGCTAATTAGACTACATAGAATACTTACTAGGTAATAAATTACTTACTTGTAAATAAGGTGAGTGTGTATTTTGCATGTCGACCGCCTTGTTTTCATCTTCAGCAGATTTGGTCCATTCCCAGGAGGTGATTTCATGGTCGTCAGTCGAGAGGCTCCCGTTTAACGTTAAGTTATTGTTCGGCAAGTATATTATTACGTCTTGACCTGCGGTAAAAAATATTAATGAATAGTCATGGCGTATATTCAAATAGACTTTTCACAAAGAGTGTTTAAATAGTATTTGTCAGGAAAGTAATGATAGAAATACCGTATAACTGAGAATTTTGCAATCACATTTGTGTTTGGTACCTACTTTGGCCATTATCAATATAGCGAGACCGCATAAGCTAAAAGGAAGCCAGTCTATTGTCATTCACCAGTCTGTCTTGTTCGGCAGTCGACTAAAAGTGCAAGTTTAATATCGCACGCAGTGCGATATTACACTGCGTGCGATATTAAACTAAATATATTAAAGAAACGATGAAATTTTAATTAACTCACCAGCATTAGCTTCAGGCGGATAATCAGTGTGATTCAACACAGTTATATTAGCTGTGGTAGAATTCTTAACATGATCTGAATCTTCAACTGTTAGTTTAAATGTATAGTTCCCAGGTTGCTTCAAATCATTTAGCACTAACGTAGGCCCATCTTGCAAAGGAGGTTGGTAGCCAATGGGCCCAGATGTCAAGTCCCAATGCCAGGAAATTATTGCGTCGTCATCCTATTGGTAGGTAAATAAAAATATAGTATATAGAAAATATCCCGCCTTTTAATTTCTGAACGGGATGGTGCTCATATCAAATGCAGCATCTACATGTTGCCAGTTACGTTATGAGTCTCATGTATGTGACTATCGCCATGCCATATGTATATGATTATTGTATAATTAAAAAAAAACCAAGCCGTCAACATAGCGACTGAGAAATTCCTAGCATACAAACAAAAATGTAAAAACTCGCAGCTCGTATCTTCAATAGAAGAAAAAAAACAACAATGTTATCCAATGTGTCTAATCAACCAATAACATGATTGACAATAGATAGGAATAATAAATTTTAAGAAATTGATAAAATCATCAAATATCATTAACAGTTGATTAATAAAGTACTAATTTAAAAAATGAAAATGTTAGATTTCTATCTAATATTTTTTTATTTATTTTATAAGTCTACTCCCTATCTGAGTAGCGTCACTAATCGAATAGTCGTGAATACGACTATGGAACTTGGGGCTTCAAGTCTTGAGTCAGGCAATATAATAGGAATATACAGAGTCAAGTCACGATAAACATTTTTATTTATTTGTTTTAAACTGTCAAACACCAAGCGGTCACCGGTGACCGCAACCTATTGTTCTATAATTGTGTCTACAAAACCGGTACTCGACACCAAATTACAATATTATGCAAGAATTTTAAAAAATCATCTCAGTAGCGCCATTCCGTACTATGTTTAGCGGTGGTTGGAAACAACAGAAGATGTTGGCGAAATAAATAATTTTCTTACCTTACTAGCACTTCCATCAAGTACAGCAACAGTATTAGGAAGTTTCACAGTTTGACTTTGCGGTGTTATGACAACTTGTGGCGGCGTGTTGACGCGATGTGGTGGTAATACGGTAACATTTGCAAATCCTTCCCCATATGAATTAGTTCCATTAACTGTCACTTTGAATCGGTATTGCCCTTCTGTTAGATCCGTTAGCGTCACTTTTGCACCGTTTTGATTCATGTTACCTAAAAAAATACATAGAAACGGTTGAAAATCTAACGCAGTCGAGTAAAATGACGATAAAAACTATTAATTATATTAATATTTGAAAACCACAATTAACAAATAACTGTATTCCAAAGCAGTAAAGTTAGTTTTCCCATAAAATCAATTTGTATTCTAAAACAGTTCATATCTATTCACAATATAATATAATATACAGGCTGTGCCTTTTATTGCGAAAACAGGTATAACAATCTATTTTATGTGCATTTTATAGCTTCATTTAACTTCCTGCATTTTAGCAGCATTTATTGCAATTTATATTTTTATTGCTTGAATAAAATATTTATAGTTACCTGTAAAACCTCCTTTTGGTTGATCTACTAGTGTCCATACATAGTTGTAATGGCTCATTGTTGCTTTCTCATCTGGAATAGTATATGCTGCCAAAGTCACTTCATTGTCTGGCAGTTGTACCTAGAGATAAATAAATAGCAAATAATTTGTATAGTTAGGATAACATACCAGTCAAAACTGAAGGTCATTGTGTAATTAATTTGATTATAGTGAAGGGTTATTAATAGTAAAATCATTAATTAATATTATTTGATTTGTTAAATTTTCTTTCATATAAAAACAAATAACATACCTGTTTGGACAAGATCGAAACAGTCAAAGTTTGAATACTTTTCTGAGAAGTAGTTTCAGTTTTAAGAATATCACTTTTTGGATCGGTTTCATCATTTTTCTTCATAGAATCAACTGGTATTGTAGGGCCTTTGGAGAAAGGTCTGATCATTTGAACGCATGCACCCTGCGCATTCTCTTCCGTACCAGGTACACATTTGCAAATGCCATTCCGTAGTTTCAAACCTAGTGGTATGCACTCAGAGTTGAAAGGGCAATCGCCGGCATCTACTTCGCACGGTATCTTTTCTAGAAAATTATTTGTATCCATTATCATGTCACTATCATTGTTATCTCGGTACTTGTCAAAGTTCCGTGGTTCATCTTCATCCATCGTAGGCAAGTTGTTGAGGAAACGTGATAAAAATGTTGAGGCTTCATCACCGTTGAGTAGGTCATTGCGGTTTATTGAGTACGGAGAGTACACTGACTCTTCTTCAGGAGAAAAATTATTGTTAACCTGTCTGTAGCTAGACTGATCTAATATGTCTGACCAATTCTCTGTAACATTTTTAATGAAATTAAGTTGTAATGTTATTGATAAGGCAGTGAGTGAAATATTATCATAAAATTCTTAGAACTTATCTTTGCCTACATCTAAACAAGAAATGATATAAAACTTAATTAGGTATTTAGTTTAAATATACAAAATAAATGTTTTAATCCAAAATAATAAACTATACATTACCATTAGGTAAAACTGGTTTTACAAGTATCATAGACACATGTGAGGCCTCCCATTTTCGACTTCCAGTCCTTTGCAGTGGTAGACACAGTTCGTCACTGACACACTCCACATGGAAACACCGCTGGTCATATATGAACACTATATTGCAGGACTCGGACATGCAGCACTCCATCACACATTGCTTTAGGCCCTTTAGACCTGGTTTCTCTGTGTAGTTTCCAGCTGTTAGATTACCTAAATAAAAAGATGAATAAATAAAATAATTATATTTAAGTGTATTTGCCATTATACATAGTTCTTTTTTATTAGAGTAGACATGTAATATCAATAATGTTGTGTTAATTAATTAATGAATTGAAATAAATAATAATATACTATTGTAATTATATGTTAAATGAAAGATGAGAAAAATCTAGCAATTTCTAGATAGAACACTGCATGTAATTGAAAGTACCTACAGACATTTCTCTATTAACAGCTGTTCCTTGAACTTACATGTTTATTATGCGAAAATTATCCTGCTATCAATTTATATGACCTTATACATAAGTAAATATTTAATGCAAGTATTACAGCTGAATAAACTTACCAACTGGCATGTAATTCAAAAAATTCTTCGGATATAATTTGGGGCACTTGTTATTTTCGTAAATGTCTCTCCATGGTTTACTGTACTGCGATAAACACACTTTCACATTAAACAAAGCCACTACAATAAATAAACTCATACATACACTACTAATACTGTTCATTATGGAATTTTTAATACGATTTAATAATTATTTAGTCGCACAATGTATTACTTCGTCGACAATTACTGTTTTAGTTATCTATGTTACAGGAACCTAAATGTAATATATTGAGATATGCAATATTTGCGTGGGAGCACCGATAAAATGACTTTATATTATTGTTTTTTTATAATTCTGATATCCCAACAATAACATAATCGAATAATCGAAATCCCTCATTCTGAATGATAAAACGTCAAGTAACTACTGAAATATTGAAGTTCAGACAGTTAGAATGATAATTGAAATACATTGTTTTTATTTGAATATTAGCTGTGTCACTGTCGTTATTGTAAAAATATTTCGGATGTCTCTTTCACTCAAATTTATAATATGCTAAAGATGCTTATTAATATCTTTCATGAAGTACGAAACGCAATACAGTTCACAATGAAATGAAAATGAATTTTGTGTGACGTTTTGACATTTTCTCTTTTGTCAAATGACAATAGAGTCGTGACCTCAAAATTTTTAAAATCGTCTAAAATCATGTTCATAATGATTTAATTGTTTTTTATTCATAAAAAAGCTTATGGCGTTGTTGGTACATATTAGTTGTAATGTTGGAATATGATACTCTGGAAATAGTCGGTACGAAAAATTCTTGGTTTAAAATATAATGTTGATAACAATTTTCGTTACTTAAAGCACATTCAAGCATGACGTACTTCATCCGCTTAATCAAAACTGTAACGCACGGCTAACTTTTGTTTTGATTACTTTCAAGTATTAAAGTATTACACAAAATAAACATTTTAATTAAAAAATCTTTTCATTACCAGCAATGCTGACACGGCAAGGGGAACTTTATGAATTAATTTTAATATAATTCGAATTTAATTGCCTAAAAATGGGTGCGGGTCAAATTGGAGGAATAGCCACTTTGGGTAATATTATTTATGTTTTAATGATGTATCGACTGTTGAAAAACAATGCCCTTTTCCTACACTTAAAATAAGGTTCCAGATTGGACTCTGAAGACGGCTGTAGAACCTAATAATTACGGGGTTCAATTTAATAGTATCACTATCTGAAAATGACTTAGATGACGAAAAATTAGTACAATAGCATTAAGTCTTTATGAACATAACATTCACATTGATGTTTTATTAAATGTGCGATATTACAGTGGATATGGATTTTAAAAATGCCGCCGGATTCCACGGTGTACCAGCGGAACCAACAGAAGCTCAATATGTTGTAAGTGTATACTTTATTTATTAGGTACCAATTTGAATCGTGGAAAATATTTTTTTGTGCGATGGGGAGCAAACGAGCACGAGGATTACTTGATAATAAACGATCAGTGCCGTTTGTGGACCCTCGCAACTCAAAGGAAGAACGGTTTCCATGTTTCGAAAGAATAATTATATACCTAAGTGGCTAAGTAGGTTCTCACATAAGTCTTCAGTTATCAAAAGGTACCTAGGTAGGTACCTATGTACATGTAGCTTCGCCCTAGGTAGCTTCTGTTGGTTTTTAAAAGGACGTTTGTTTTGGTATAGAGTGTACCTACGAAAGGGTATTAGTATGTTTTGTATCATTTTTTTTGGTTCGATCGAGATGCCGTGTTTACGTGCGGTACTGAATTCATGTATAACTTTGCCAAGAACAGAATTTCTTTCCAAAGTCGTGAGAGAGAAAAGTTATAAACTCGACTGTTTCCAGCCTTGCCTGATATAGAATTTCCTCCATAGAATGAAATAGGCAATGTTGTATTACTTAAAAGATAAAATTAACTGATGACAACTTATTTTCTCAGATACATTACTTATCACACGCGATGATGTTCTGCATGGGTGTGCTGATAGAGGCTCACGTAGTACTAACCACAGCCAATTGTGTCCACGGAGAGAAATATAAATTCAGTGTAGTTGGTGGTACTCATAAGTTTTTGGAACATGCGGGCATAATGAGAACAGTGCATCATCTCTGTATTCATAAGGGTAAAGTATTGTAGTTTAATAATTCGTTAAGATTTAAATCTGATTTATTCAGGACATAAAGGCATAATAAAAGTTGCTAGGTTCGAGTAGACGTGACTCTCGCGGAATTCACAAAGAAAAGGAAAAAGTAAAGTACCTACCTAAGCGAGAAACATTAAAAATTTTCTAAATATTTTGTAAATTATAACATACCATGCTACGGGTTTCCTATTTGATTACCAGATTTTTGTACTAGATCATAGTTAATTCATTCGACCTCTGCTTAACCTGTCGTGTGTCTAAACGTGGATCCACCCGAGACACGATGTATTTTATATTGTCTCATATACAGGCATTCAAGCGGTTAAATCCTTCTATGAATAAAAGCCAAACGATATTTTAATTAAAATTGTCAGGTTACAATACGTCGCAACGATGGTCTGACTGTTTGACGGACAATTTGGCGCTACTGGTTCTAAATACTCAGTTCTCATTCAACATACGAGAGCCTGGGTCTGATTTCTTGTTAAATCGCGTCCGTTATGGTGTGAGTGCTCCAAAGGATGAGAGCCTATATTCGGACACATCTTGCAAGTATTACGGCTGGGGCAGTAGGAGAAATGTAAGTTCATAGTTTAAATACCTGTCAACATTTAACGCTCTGTCTAGATTATTTTCAGTGGTGAGTGAATATTAATTAATTAATTAATTTATTTATTTATTTAAGGACAACCAAAAAAGCATACACAAAAATACATGATAGGTTTTTAACATAATATTTTAACACTCTATAGTGTAGCCTTAATTAAACTGTCAAATACCAAACGGTCACCGGTGACCGCAACCTATTGTTCTATAATTGTGTCTACAAAACCGGTACTCGACGAGTTAAAGGCTGCCACGACATGCATTATAAAAGAACAGGATATTACAACAAAAAAAAAAAAACAAAAAGTTCGCTTATCAAAAAAGACACCAATTTCAATCACAATTGTTAAATTTAAATTTTTACTTCTTCTCAATTTATTAGATAATATAAGATGATATTGTAAATATATAATAATAAGATGATATTGTAATTTTTCACCGTGGGAGAGCCATGCTTCGGCACGAATGGGCCGGCTCGACCGGAGTAATACCACGGCCTCACAGAAAACCGGTGTGAAACAGCGCTTGCGCTGTGTTTCACCGAGTGAGTGAGGGTACCGGAGGCCCAACGAAAAAAAAAAAAAAAAAAAAATATAATAATCTTAATAAAACTGAAAATGTTTTTGGCGTTATATGAAAACAGTACGTAACCCATGAACGAGCCAACTGAAATTTAATAAATTCTACTAATGTATAAATACCTTCTATTCTGAAGTCTACAACAAAAATATTAGTTCAAAGACAAAGAAAAACTAGACTTTCCGAGTTTAAAGCATTTTTTTTATAGGAGAAGTATTAAATTGTTGCTTTCCATCAAGTGTTCAATCATCAAGAAACGTCGTCAGTCTACCTCTCTCTGAATGAGTTGTAGATTCCGACCACATTAATTGTTTTAATCTTCAGGTTTATCAAGTATTTATTAACTTATCTATTTTCAGGGCTATTTAATTCCATTGCTGATTAATCTCCAAAAAATGAATGTGGTTTTATTGCCAAGGAGCAAATGTTTGGCAATGTTCAACTATGAGGAGAAGTTCCTGTGTATCCAGCAAGGACAGTGTAGGGTAATGTATCAATTTGGTTTACATAACATGTTGCCATTTTTTTTTGGGGAAAAATCATCGTATGGTTTCTCCCGCCTCGGCGAGGCGGGAGGTGTGTTAGACGCTTACTGACTAAGAACCACCTCGTTCTTACTCCTGCACTTCGAGCCGGTCCCTCGGTAACCCGTTAAGTTCTCTGCATCGGCATCAGCCCTATTGGCCCCATCCCTGGTGGTCTGATGACTCTTTGTGGCGCGCGCGGAACGCGACGCGCCGTACGCTCGGGTCTGGTTCTGGTCGGACGGGGAACCCATGCTCGCTGTCCGCAGGCCCGCGCTTGTCGTCCCGCAATCCCCGACGCCCGGAGTGTCCTTCGCGACGGCTGGCTTGTGAGAAGACTGCGCTTCGCAGCCTGATGCGCCCCGCCTACTGCTTAGCTAGCAAGACCGCTTCGCAAAAGGAGGAGACGGCATCCCAATCATGACCCGCACTAGAGCCGGATGCGAGAGGTCACCGTCACCGATCACGTCCTTGAGGGCACGGGGATGCTCAGCCCACGCAGGGCATTCCCCTATCGTGTGTTCAGTTCCACCGTGTCCTCAGGGCGGACCTCGCAGTGATGACACCCGGGCGTTTCCTCCCGCCTTATCAGACAACACAGGTGTCTGATAGGCCTGCCACCTGAAGCCCCCATGTCCGGTGGTATGTGTCCATGTCATGGTCCAGGACCTGTGTCAGGCAGTAGGTGAGGACGGCCGTAGTGTCTCTCGAGCCACTCCTCAAAGCGGGGACTTACCGCTACTGATGTTACTATAAATATAATGACTGTACCTATATGAACGCAACAGACTTAAAAACTAGTCTACGGATTTTTATATGATTTATACCAAAATATTACCCACTAGCGGCCCCTCCCGGCTTCGCACGGGGGGACTTAAGATTTTTTACATAGTTTTACGTTTTATTTATATTTATTCTCAGTTTTTTTTTATTTAGGAAGTATTTACCTTTTGAAAATATTTTTCTTGAACCATTCATTAAAACGATTGTTATAGGTAAACTATAAAAGGTAGACATATGCTCTCGCGGACTTTTTTAAAAATAATGTTAAGATGAACAATTCATCTATAGAGCATTTTTGTATAACTTTAACTATATGCTCAGCGCACGCCACGGAAGGCCTCAGAAACGGTACTTTTCCCCCGTTTTTAAAACATTTTTGGTTACTGCTCCACAACTATAGGACCTAGCGTGATATAATATGTTACTTCTGAATAATGCAGCTTTCTAATGGTGAAAAAATTATTGCAATCGGTCCAGTAGTTTTTGAGTTTATTCATTACAAACATACAAAAATACAAAAATACAAATCTTTCCTCTTTATACCTCTAATATTAGATATAGATATAGATAGTATAGATAAAGTAATACCTGAGAAAAGTAACCACACAGGTGAAGAAACGTAGTTTTTATAAACAAGGAAATTCCAATCTATTTGCTATAATGCTCCTACAGCGCGCGCCCCTGACGCGGGCGCTGCGGACGCTCAATGTGATGTCGGAATACATTGACTTATTTTATTGTACACTGAACGAATTCAGAAGAGCCTGTTACTGTACCTGTACCCATCTGTGACTTAGCTTAAGGAATATGTTTGTTACCATAGTTATAAATGTTGTAGTACCAAATTGTAAAATTAGACTTTGTAATTTAATTCTATTAATATTGGCATACACTATTGCATTAGGTATTAGTTC